AAACCTGATCCTTCAAAAATGTATTATAAAAACGTTAATATAAACAATAATAAAATGATTTTAATAAAATTTATGAGATAAAAGAAACTGGTTTAAAATATAAAAAAAATATTATTGTTATTTGCTGTCGAACTCATTTCAGAAGAACGTATGATCGATTCATTTCCAGTACCACAATACGGCGGAGACTTGCTGGAGCCAATTTACGATCTAGGAGACCATTGAAAGTACCCAGGTTACTTCCCAGACATATAGCTGCTCGTCTACAGTGGGCACAGGAACACAGAGACTGGCTTTTAGCTCAGTGGCGAAATGTTCTTTTTTCGGACGAAACCAGATATGGTTTATTTAGTGATAGTCGGCGACACAGAGTTTGGAGAGGGCCAGGTCAACCAGAAAATATCTTTTGCCAGAGAAGTCGTTCCATACCAAGGAGGAACAGTAATGTTTTGGGGAGGCATAATGCATGGTCGTCGTACGCAGCTTATTCCCATTCCAGACACTATGACAGCTGATAGAGACATGTTCGAAACATTATTGAACCCATTATTTATCCTATCCGAAATGAAATTGGAGCCAATTGTATTTTCATGGATGACAATGCTAGGCCCCATCGCACGAGAAGGGTACAAAATGCACTAGAAATTCAGAATATTCAAAGATTACCGTGGCCAGCAAATTAGCCAGATATAAATCCCATTGAGCACATGTAGGATTTTGTTGGAAGAGCAATCTCAAACAGAATTAATCCTCCTATCTCCCTCCAGGAACTCACAGTCGCGGCCCAAGAAGAATGGAACAACATACCAATGGATTACATTAACACCCTTATTGTTTCCATACACAGGCGAGTTAATACCTTACTACAAAACAGGGGAGGACACACCGAATATTAATGAATTTTTGATTTCGCTCTAAAGTGATATTCTTCTGGAATTCAAATTCTAGTAATCATTTTAACATGCATTTTTCGTTGTTTTTTTTTTCTTGTTCAGTTAAATTTAATTCAGCTAATTTGTATTGGATACATAACTAACACACTTCTTGACTTTTAATAATAGTGTCTCATTTTGACAAACATAAGGGGGTCCAATAATTTTGGCGATGTGTGTATTATTTCTGATCTATTGCAATGTCAGAACTCTCAAAAACGACCCACTATACTTTACCCGCAATATTTTAAAAATGTTCTAATGGTGCATTATTTCATCTATCTTCTATTTATCTATATACGAGTAATAAAAATGAAATAACTCATTGACTCACCAGATCTCCAAAACTATAAGCCCGATTGACTTAAAATTTGCCATAGTTACTCCTTTCTTGACGTAGGCACCCTGAGGCACCCACTAATAATAAATAAAAATAAATAAAAATAAATAAAAATAAATAAAAATAAATAAAAATAAATAAAAATAAATAAAAATAAATAAAAATAAATAAAAATAAATAAAAATAAATAAAAATAAATAAAAATAAATAAAAATAAATAAAAATAAATAAAAATAAATAAAAATAAATAAAAATAAATAAAAATAAATAAAAATAAATAAAAATAAATAAAAATAAATAAAAATAAATAAAAATAAATAAAAATAAATAAAAATAAATAAAAATAAATAAAAATAAATAAAAATAAATAAAAATAAATAAAAATAAATAAAAATAAATAAAAATAAATAAAAATAAATAAAAATAAATAAAAATAAATAAAAATAAATAAAAATAAATAAAAATAAATAAAAATAAATAAAAATAAATAAAAATAAATAAAAATAAATAAAAATAAATAAAAATAAATAAAAATAAATAAAAATAAATAAAAATAAATAAAAATAAATAAAAATAAATAAAAATAAATAAAAATAAATAAAAATAAATAAAAATAAATAAAAATAAATAAAAATAAATAAAAATAAATAAAAATAAATAAAAATAAATAAAAATAAATAAAAATAAATAAAAATAAATAAAAATAAATAAAAATAAATAAAAATAAATAAAAATAAATAAAAATAAATAAAAATAAATAAAAATAAATAAAAATAAATAAAAATAAATAAAAATAAATAAAAATAAATAAAAATAAATAAGAATAAATAAAATTAAAAATAAATAAAAATAAAAATAAAAATAAATAAAAATAAATAAAAATAAAAATAAATAAAAATAAAAATAAAAATAAATAAAAATAAATAAAAATAAATAAAAATAAATAAAAATAAATAAAAATAAATAAAAATAAATAAAAATAAATAAAAATAAATAAAAATAAATAAAAATAAATAAAAATAAATAAAAATAAATAAAAATAAATAAAAATAAATAAAAATAAATAAAAATAAATAAAAATAAATAAAAATAAATAAAAATAAATAAAAATAAATAAAAATAAATAAAAATAAATAAAAATAAATAAAAATAAATAAAAATAAATAAAAATAAATAAAAATAAATAAGAATAAATAAAATTAAAAATAAATAAAAATAAAAATAAAAATAAATAAAAATAAAAATAAATAAAAATAAAAATAAAAATAAATAAAAATAAATAAAAATAAATAAAAATAAATAAAAATAAATAAAAATAAATAAAAATAAATAAAAATAAATAAAAATAAATAAAAATAAATAAAAATAAATAAAAATAAATAAAAATAAATAAAAATAAATAAAAATAAATAAAAATAAATAAAAATAAATAAAAATAAATAAAAATAAATAAAAATAAATAAAAATAAATTAAATAAAAATAAATAAAAATAAATAAAAATAAATAAAAATAAATAAAAATAAATAAAAATAAATAAAAATAAATAAAAATAAATAAAAATAAATAAAAATAAATAAAAATAAATAAAAATAAATAAAAATAAATAAAAATAAATAAAAATAAATAAAAATAAATAAAAATAAATAAAAATAAATAAAAATAAATAAAAATAAATAAAAATAAATAAAAATAAATAAAAATAAATAAAAATAAATAAAAATAAATAAAAATAAATAAAAATAAATAAAAATAAATAAAAATAAATTAAATAAAAATAAATAAAAATAAATAAAAATAAATAAAAATAAATAAAAATAAATAAAAATAAATAAATAAAAATAAATAAAAATAAATAAAAATAAATAAAAATAAATAAAAATAAATAAAAATAAATAAAAATAAATAAAATAAATAAAAATAAATAAAAATAAATAAAAATAAATAAAAATAAATAAAAATAAATAAAAATAAATAAAAATAAATAAAAATAAATAAAAATAAATAAAAATAAATAAAAATAAATAAAAATAAATAAAAATAAATAAAAATAAATAAAAATAAATAAAAATAAATAAAAATAAATAAAAATAAATAAAAATAAATAAAAATAAATAAATAAAAATATATAAAATAAATAAAAATAAACAAAAATAAATAAAAATAAATAAATAAAAATATATAAAATAAATAAAAATAAACAAAAATAAATAAAAATAATAAATAAAAAAAATTAATAAAAATAAATAAAAATAAGTAAAAATTAATACAAATAAGTGAAACTTATGTTATGAAAAATATGAGTAGTGAATTGATAAAAACCATATTTTTCGATATCCCGACACCTCAACAGTATAAGGGAGGACTTCTTTTCTCAAGTTTTATGTGACCTGTTAGAGAGTCAGTTTCGCATGCAATCTGGTGATATTAGCAGAAGTACCAGAAAAGTGGTATAAAATGAGATTCTCAATTAGATTACTATGCTGAACTCTAATCTATAATACTATCACATACATATCAAGAACCCTAAAAAACATATTATCCTTTCTTATTTGGGAAATGCATGTATTTTTTTATATTAAAAATACGTATCCACGCATGCGAAACCGCGGGCAATAGCTAGTAATTAAATAAAATTCCGAACCTGTTTATAATATTTTTTTCCTATTTTTTGCAACTTCGTATCCTTCAGAAATCGCTCTAGTGGTTAAGTATTAAACGAGTAAATACGGAATAGTAGTTTGTGTAATAAAAGTAGATATGATGGCCATATAGACAATCCACTCTTGTTACAGTATATTTTTTATACGACCCACTAACGAAAATCTAGAAATTTTAAAAATTATTTTAGGTAATTAAGATAAAATAACATTTAAAAATAAGTTATGACTTACCTACTATATTTATAAAATAAAATAAACTTGAAAAAAAAATTAACTTGCCTCCAATCCTAGATTTGAACCCGGGACCTCGCTCGAATGACTGCCAAATACGCTACTCTCAGCTCCATCAACACACCTAACATTTTGGTTTTAATACTCGTAATTAAATTAGTTTCATATAGTTTTATTAAAATTTATAATAAAAGTGGCGGTGAAGATGAGAACAGAGCGTCTGCCTTCCACCCAAAAATCCCGGGTTCGAATCTGGACTGGGGACTAATTAAAATAAATCTTTTTTGTTTCATGTTTATTTTATTTTATAAATTATTTTAATATTAGTTATTTTGTTTTAATAACTCAAAATAATTTTTTAAATTTATAGATTTTCGTTATTGAGTCGTAGAAAAAATATAGTGTACAACTCGAGTGGATTGTCCATATCGCACTCAAACGATTGAGCATTCCGCCTACGACGTCGTGCTATAGAAATAGTACGTCGTTGCACAAACTACTATTTTCATTCCAGTTCTAGTAACGGAGAAAAGATCTAATAATAAAGTCCGTATTTTCAAAATAGTAAACAGTTTTGTTTTTAAAAGGAAAACACGAGTAATTTTTAAATCCATCATTTTCTTTTTGACCAAATGACACACTAATATAAATTTTAACCACCTTGTTTCGAGAAAATCGATACCCAACGACCTTGCCTGACAACTTGTAATTCGCATACCATAATTAAATTTAAAAAAATGTGGTTTTCAGTAAAACATTAACATTATATCAATTACCAGTTTGATATTCAAAAGTGCACTATACCGATCACCCACCCACTGGTGTATTTCGTTGAAATGAGTGTTACGAACGAAAATTTGAAAGAACAAATTCCTTCAGGATCTTGTAGTCCTGTACTTGGATGGTCACCATTACCTCCACGAAGACATCTGAATTTTGTAAACAATGAGGCACCAGTAAAGGTAACATTTTCCAATTAAAGAGATGACAAAGTAGCTAGGTTTTTTTAAATAAAGAAGCAATGCATATATACAATTATACGGTGCAATCTAAAAGTTTGGAATCAACTAATTTACTTTTTCATGTAAATTTTTTATGAAGAAAATAAAATGGAAATAGAAAATAAAATGGAAAGAAAATAAAATAGAAAATTTTATGACAACAATTTTCAGCCAATAAAATGCAATTATTTCTGAAGGTTGCCATGACAACCTTCGTATGTATTCGGAAATTGCCCTACCTAGCTGTAAGATTAATAAGTGGAAATTTACCTGCCTTGACAGCTGTCATAAAAATCAAGGGTGTAGAATAATTTCGATAAAACTAAGCCCACAATTTTTCGCTTTTCTCTAGTACTATGTACACTTGATAAAATATTATCTTTCTTATTCAGGTATATAAACGACATCTTACTAAAGCATAGGGATATTAAAATGTTTGACATCAAATCTGCGATTAATAAATAACTGCATCCATGTTCAACAGAAATAGATGTATTTTTTTCCTTTTCTCTAGTGCTATATAATTGTGTGATATTGCTAGAATAATATCTAGCCTTTTCAAGTAAATTAACCACATTTTACTAGAGGCATAGGTAAACTAAAATATTTAATAAACACGACTACACACCTGGTTTGAAATTGGTTAGGCAAACTCATCAGTCAACAACCTACTATGATATCTTTAATAAAAAAGTGTGTGATTAACCAGCAGCTGTTACGACTAATTATCCTGTCAAAGGGCAGGTACCTCTTTGGAGGTTGTCATAATATTTTCTTACCGAATATCCCACGTGCCAAAATTAGATTAGAATTATCATATCAAAAACATTCGTGACCTTGAAAAAATTTCCGAAAATAATACATATAAGTGAAAATTAAATAGAAAATAAAATAGAAATTAAATAGAAAATAAAATATAAAATAAAAAAAAAATAGAAAAAAAATAGAAAAAAAAAATAAAAAAAATAAAAAAAAAAATAAAAAAAAAAAATAAAATAGAATAAAAAATAAAATAGAATAAAAAATAAAATAGAATAAAAAATAAAATAGAATAAAAAATAAAATAGAATAAAAAATAAAATAGAAAATAAAAATAAAATAACCCATACAGCACAAACATATTTCAGAAATATTTCAAAAATATTACATTGAAACATTTTTGTAATGTATAAATATTACGAAACATCCCAGAAACATTTCTGAAATGTGCCTGAAACGTAAAAATGTCATATAAATATAATATTTTACAGTAATATTTCTGAAATAAAAATTTGAAATTTTTTAGAAATAATAAATAGTAATATTTCAGAAATGTATTCTAGCTTTTTTTTTTCTAAAATATTATTAAACTAAAAAAAGACATTTATAAATATACATATCCGTGTCCTTTTTAGGTTATTCACTAGAAATTCATGTCGTTTTTACGATACCCCTACATTCATACTTATTTCGTGTGATTTAGGTATTGTATTATTGTTGGTGATAAGGTTTGGTTTTTATTGTTTAATGGTTGTTTTCACTGGTTGAGGTAATCTTATTACATCTGCCTTGTATTCAATAGCATGCTTTTCAGTGTTGCCAGTTGCCACCAGCCGATGAAGAAATTATCGTGCTGTGCTGCCAAAATTATCGATTTTTCTTGAAAATTATGGATTTTTCTTGAAAATTATGTTACAATTTTCTTTATTTTGTTGTTTTGGAAAAAACACGTCATGCTTATTTTAATATAATATATAATAACACAAAAACTTAAATGTAGACCAAAATTATTTGGTATCAAAATGAATATCAACATTTCCATCTTCTTCGTGTTCATATTACGTTTAGCTGGACCAACAGTTTAGATTTTAGATAAATAAATAAGTATAATTTTTTTTGAAAGATAAGTGGAACAATACTTATCTTTCAAAAAACAAAATTAATAAAGCATTAAAAACGACACCCTATAGACATATAATTTTCGATATCTTAAATATATCAAATAATGGATGTACACTGGATATGTTAAACATCTGTAGGATATATCCATTGGTTACTTATGAACCTCTATTAAAGGTACCTATTAGATATTTTGCTGGATATCCATATAGAATATCTTCTATATCCTGGATATAGACGGACATTTGGATATCCATATTAGATTCACGGGATATTTATGATATCCTGTAGATATATTGGATATCCACAAAAGATATTCTGTGGATATCTCTGAGATTTGGTGTGTTGTCTGGGCATATAACAACAGCACAACGCGTAAATATAAAAAATCTGATGTGTCCAACACATGACTTTCCTATCTAGTTATTATAGGCTTTTCCGGTTATTTTGTACAACCTATTGCAGCATCTCTATAAATCTTTAGAGGATAAACTAAATATATACATTGTCCACATACATCTACCTCGAAACATTTTTCTATAGATATTCATGGAAAACGAAAATACTGAAAAATTTAAATTTCCTACAATTTTTTCATTACGGTCCATTTTAGAAAAATCATGTATAAACAAAAATTATAGATATCGATATCGCAAACAACTTTTATTTCAAAAACTTTCATAAAAATCAGAATTTTGCACATTTTGTCAAATTTCTCGAATACGGACCATTTCAGGAAATTTTTACATAAAACAAAAATTATAGATAATAATATTAGAAGTAACTTTTATTTGAACAATTTTTTTCTCCAAATATTAATAACAGATATATTCCATAAAATATAAAAACGGCCTCCCATAAAGTACCCCCCCAGATGTTCCGACTTTGTCCAAAATCTAATCATTTCACGTCAGGCCGAAATAAACCTTAAGTTTAAAATTTAATGTTTTTTTCTTTATCCGTTTTTGAGTTTTCTTCAAAATTCGAAATTTACACATTTTCTCAAATATCTCGAATACGGTCCATTTTAGAGAAATTATGTATAGAATAAAAATTATAGAGAATTATATTACAAACAACTTTTATTTGAACAATTTTTATAAAAAAATATTTTTTTTACATTTTGTCAAATTTCTCGAATACGGACCATTTTAGGAAAATTTTGCATAAAACAAAAATTATAGATAATTATATTAGAAGTAACTTTTATTTGAAGAATTTTCTTCTCCAAACGTAAATAACAGATATATTCCATAAAATATAAAAATGACCACCTATAAAGTACCCCCCCAGATGTTCCGACTCTGCCCAAAATCTAATCAGCTCATTGGACGTTGAAACAAAGCTTAAGTTTAAAATTTAGTGTTTTTCTATGTATCGGTTCATGAGTTATGCGTTATACAGACACACACATACACACACAGACATCATCGCGAAAATAGTCAAAACGGATTCAGGGGACCTCAAAACGTAAAAATCCGTCGAAAACTCGAGGTCGAAAAAAATCATGATTCCTATACTTTCCTTATATCTGTATACAGATAGGAAAGTAAAAAAGGAAATGACAAAAACCGACAACTCAAATCTATAATTATTTAGAATATAGGGTTGTCTCTGGCTGGACACAGGATGAAATATGAAATAAAATAAATACATATCCCATCTTGATCTTCTTACAAATATGTTACAAATCATAAATTCTTCATTAAGTGTTGGCCTTTTACAACATAACCTGTCTAGTAACCTTTTGTGTAACATGTATACCATGTTTCAGAAACATTTTCAGTGAAATATTTAACTAAAATATTTCAGAAACTTGTGCTTAAAATGTTATATGTTTGAAACGTTTGAAATATTTCTGAAACACTTCTGAAATATTGTGTGCTGTATGGGAAATCACGAGGCCATATGTCACACAAAATAATACGAGCGACCGTTTTACTTCGGCAAACAACTACTCCTTTAGCTAATTCCGCAACAGGTATTGAATTATATCCAAAGGAAAAACAGCAGAGATAGAAATCCAGTTTCAAAACTTTAACTTTGATTTTGCTCACTAAGAACGTCATTCTTGGATGGATTTTGTCCTTAATTAGATTAGATTTAATTAGGACTGTGGGCCATGTAAGCCTCCTCCACCTCGACCTTTTCAGATCTATTGTAGATATCCTTTAATTGTTGTTTGTTCGGTCTTTTGTAGTAGACTAGGAAGTGTAAGGAATCTCAGTCTTGATAGACCTTCGTAGTAGCACAATACATGTTCTGCAGTTTCCTCCTCTTCCTGACAGAATCGGCATACGTTCTCTTCTGTCAGGTTGATATTATATAAATATGCAATTACAGTCATATAGCATGAAAATTTGACCACTGCCGATTCGCCTTATTCTCTCTAGTCTTCATATTTATATTGAGACATACTTCAAACTAACTAACTAGCTGCAAAGAGTCTATTTATATTAGAAATCTTATGTGCCAAATTACTCTAGGCCTGCATCGAGCTTGTCTAGAAAAATCTCGTGTTGCTGCCGTTGTTGCGTCGGTGATCTCTAGACGGTTGGGGACAAAGCGAAAATTCTTTCACTATGAGCGGTACGTGTTCAAAGAGCTTTCTGTTTCTCGTATTCTCTCAGATGTATCGATGTAGACTGGACGTCGCCCTATAGAGCAGGACCGGACGTGACCGCTTCGCACGACAATATCTTGACATTGACACATGTTTCATCAGTCTTCATAGTTTCATCTAAACAGAAAACCAGTTTATATCGATTTCTGATGTCCACTATTTTCTTCAAATATTCATGTTTCCATGCAATAATTTCGTTTTTTTTTTCTGTTAAAAAGCTAATTATCTGGAATATAAATACAATTGATATAAAATATGATAATTTGGAAGTGTTTGGTTGTTTTCTATTTCTAAGTATAAGCAAATTTTTAATATGGTAGTAATTTCATTTTACATGCATGCTTTTTCCAAGCTTCAATAATAGTTTTATTTCTTCCGGTCAGATTTTTCGGATAAGAGATTTTTCCAATAACTGCATATTCTTTAACCATATTATGGACTGTCCGCTTAGATACTACAGTGTAGGTCTCACATTAAAGGTACTAGTTCGATGGTCGCTGCGTTCGTAAGACCAACAACAACTTTTAATGAAAAAAATGTCAATGAATGTTTTTCGGAACACCTGCTAAAACATTCCTTGTTAATCGAGAACTGAATAACAAATAGAAACATTTCTTTTGTTATGGTAATTTTCGACATGAAACTGTAGATTTCTATCATAACTTATTTGTTTGCCATCAAAATAGCATTTGTAGCCGACTTGAAGGAGAAAATTTACTTTATAGTAACCCATTCACAAGAAGTTGAATACGATAAATATTTGAAAATATAAAAATCGTGCATAAATAGCGAAGCCAGCTTCACGTAGGTTCGTACCTTTTCGATCATTTTTATTTCTTCTTTGCTTCTTTATAAATCGTCCAAATATTATTTTTTGATTCCATCGTTCAGTACCTTACAAGTTATTAACAGAACACTTTTCACTACTCAATAACGAAGACTGACTGCGTGAACGATACCTAGAGGTACTTTAACAAAATGAAGCCAAAATGGCACGTGTACCCTTTCTAAATAAAATTGTCCTACACCTGGTGTTATCTCATTTTTACTTTAAAAACTGTAATAGGTATATAGCAGTTGAAACTTATAATATACATGAAAACCGAACTTTGGTACTTCCTCGCTTCGTCATATACAGTACGTTGTTTCCAACACTGACTCCATGAGACCGGTATACACTTTAATTGTAGAGGAGCAACCATGCGTCCAATCACGATAGGCAAACAGGCATATCGCGAGTTACTCTCTTTAATCCACTTACGTCCAAATATCCTATTTATTTTGCTTGATGCGTTGGTTAACGTACTGTATAATACAACGAGTGGTATCGAGGCTATCAATAATCGCCTAAGCTAATGCTCTAAACGTGTGTTGCTGAGTGCATTAATTTACGTGATTATCTATAGAACTGATATCAAAAGTTGTATTCAATTTAGTAATATCACGAATTAATAAAATGACAGTTCAATAAGTACAAAAGCAATGAAAAAACTAGATTAATGTACTAAGCATAATTATTAGTTTTTATCGATGTATGAATATCGTTTATTAATCAACTAATAGCCTATTGACCAGAGCATACTGGCGCATTCGTTTGCAAAATTATTGTTTTAATTCGTATTTTTTTTTTATAATGTCCGCATAATGCCACACACGTCATGTTTAGTTTTTGACACAAACAAGCTTTCGTTGCACAATTTTTTTTACAGTTGCACGGTTTTGCTAAGTCTTCAGGTAATGGCGGTTTTGTTAAATACAGTGGCTTTATTTGGTTATCACAGAAAACATAACCAAAACCAGAGAAATCTAAAGATGACGACAAGTGCATTTGGCCTTTTTATCGTATTTAAAAAAATTTTACTTCTCAGGCAGTATCTGACAATAATTTTTTCATGAATAAAAATAAATGTTTCTGTTAACTTTAATAAATAAAAAAGTTATCAAAAGTATCTAAAAAAGTAAAAAAAAAATCACATGATACAAAACTATTAATCGGTAAATATAACAAAGTGTTATGAAAAATGTTAATAATAATTTTTTTAAACTTATTACCTCTGAAAAACAGCAAAAAATTGATGTAGCGCGTCATCGGGCTTTCTCTTATCCATCTTATACATTGAGTTGGAAGTGAGATAGAAGTACTTCTCTCTAAAAGTACACGCGCGTAGGAAGCATATTGTTATAACGTAAAAAAACATAACAACAAACAAAATTTTGAAAATTTATTTAGGTTATTTTGTTTATTATAGTTTGAATATTCGGTAAAAAATTTAAAATTATAGCATTTTAAATTTTAAGGTATATTATTTAATTCAAGAAAAATAGAATTTTTGTCAATTTCGGATTTTAAAACATTCATAACAATTAAAGGGTTGAAGATACGATGATGGGCGTAAGGACTTTTTTTATTCGAAATATCCTAAAGAATATAAAAAAAATTTATTGCAAAAAATGCCCTTTTTCTGGCTTAATTAATTTTTCGTTGTTTAAACAATAACATCAACAGATATCGACTGTCATCTTACACTTTTATAATCAGGAAAGCCTTCCGGATATTTAAAAAAAAAATTAAAACAATTTTGCAAACGAATGCGCCACTATGCCCTGCACTACTAGGAAATTATTACATTGTGAGTGATATTATCTTATTGTTAGTAATATTTACTTTATAAACAGCCACCAAACGCAAAAAACAGCATAAATATACAAATCATTTACACATTTTAATTTTTATGCTCCATTTAAATACAGTACTTTTGGTAAAGGAATAGTAGCAAAAATTAATCGTAATGGTAAAATTAATGATATTCTAATTTATATTTTTGGCAATTACAATAGTCAGGTACCTATGTATGGGAGGTGGATGGCTCAGTGGTTAAAACCTCGAACTTTTAGCCACTTTAGGGCCTAGATGTTTTAAAATTTTAAATAAATTTTTGTTTTTCAGCAAGTTGTTGGATTAGAGAACGATTTATATCCCAACTGTGACGTTAGTATTTGGCTAAGATCATGTGAAACTGAAATTATAACACCGTTAAAAGGAGAAGTTAAAGGTAAGAATAAATAAATCAAACCAGCTTAGATAAATCTGCGATAGTGTTCCAGGGAGAAATCGCAAGATCATAACACCGTAAGAGAAGTATTAAGGGAACCATCACTGAATACCGAAAGACAATATAGCGTGGGACAGAATAACAAAAGAAACATCACCAAGATAAAACAGCACAAGAACAAAAAATAGCTCATACACAAAAAGCGATCAGATAAAATAGTGCCAGGAAAAATGACTTTAAGACGTAAAAGAGTAATGATAAAATAGAGAAAGCTTAAAAAAATAGGAAAAATTATCGCGTACATATTAATTGTTTGCCATATTCTCGTAGAGTTAAGCGCAGCCCCAGTGGGACCGCCGAGTTGTACCACGGGATATAAGGTAGATATATCCTACCGTCTAATAATAGGATTATATCACCGAATTTCTAGAAAGAATTAACCTGCGATGGCTCTAGGCCGTACAGGTTAAGTAAATTATTTTTTTTATTTCCCAGGAAAACCCCAAAAAAAAGTCCAATATTACCTTTACGAAATAATGAAAATTATTTTTGAACCCCAAGGTAAAAACAAATTTAATGAAAAATTTAAAAAATTCTGCCGCGGGATGATTTGAACCCACCTATTCCTGTTCTACGCATAGCATTCTTGACACATTAGAAATCACCGACTATGTCGGCGATAGTTCAATTAGTAGTTTTTGCAACAAGATTGGATATGGACAATCTACTCGAGTTGTACAGTATATTTTATCTACGAACTACTAACGAAAATCTACAAATTTTTAAAATTATATTAGGTTATTAAGGTAATAATAACTAATTTTAAAATAATTTATTACTTTTACTAATTTATAAAATAAAATAAACATGAAAAAATAGTTAATTTAAGTAATCCCCAGCCCAGATTTGAACCCTAGTCTCTCGCTTGGAAGTCAAACGCCCTGTTCTCACCTCCATCAACACACCATTTTAGTTTTTAATAGTCATAATTAAATTAGTTTCATATAGTTTGAACAAAATTTATGATTTACTTGTAAATATGGACGAAATAAAACTAGAAATTCTGCACAATAATAACTCATTTTTACGTATATTTAACATCAATAACTAAAAAATATACTCACAATTAGTTTGACAGAATTATATAAAATTAAAAAAAAAGTAAAGAATAAAAAACCATAAAAATAATATCGCAACTAAAAATGAAAATTCCACTGCCCTAACTAAACATGCGTTCGAAAATTTGCACTCTTCCGATTTTAAAAATGTAGAAATTCTCGAAAATGAACCTAATCTCAACAAAAGAACAATCCTTGAGATGATACATGTTAAAAAAAATAACAACTCTGTAAATAATAAAACGGACTTAAAAGATTTGTTAAAATTTTATTTTATAATAATATTAAATAATTGTAAGCTTTCTAATCCTTAACTTGTAATGCCACTGGTAATTTTTAACTTTGTAAAAACTCATCTTTTTGTTTCCCTACTTTATCGTTATTGTGTTAAACCAAATCAATATTATTTCGAATACACCTTCACACGCTGAAAAAAAAGAAGGGGTTTCTCTTATTTTAAAATTTTTTAAACTCTAATCGAACCCATGTGTTTTTTTTTTAATTTTGACTGCACCCGAAGATGGAAAAAAAATCCGAAATATATATAGTGCTGTGCTAAATGATAGAAAATTAAAACATGACCGAATAAACCAAGGAAATTTTTATTTATATAAAAAATAATAGTAGCCGGGTGACCAAAATATGAACTGTGATTGGTGTATATCATTTTTTTTTGCAGTGTTATTACTAGGTAAAATGGATATGAAATATATTCGTTCAGTTGAATGCAATAGCCTACTTTTTCGTTTTGTAGTCTGTGTGTAGATACGCTAATATCCATGTGAGTGTAGAAAAAAAGCATATTATTTATGTAGCACATAATCTAAGTTTATAATATAGATTTGTCCTTTTTGTATAAAATGTGCCAATTAAAAATATACTTTTAAAATAAGATTATTTTTAATAAAAAGCGCTGTTTTTCGCTATTTAGTAGTAATGTGCCCAACGATATTTCTTCCAATCGCTATTTTCTCTACGCGTTTTCGTCACCGCGCTGTTTCCTCTGCATCTGTTTTGTTATGGAAATATTTTGTCCTACTCTACTTTGCAGCAGCGCGATTTATTCTATTTTAATTTTGTGCTATTTAATTCTGTGCCATATTGTCCTTCGCTATTTAGTAGCGATGTCAGTATTAATACTTAGGTAAATGGAAATATAATTGTGAGTATACTCCGTCAAGCAATGTTAAAAGCTATCATTCCCTTGCAGCTACACTCGAAGGTTGTATCGGAGTGTTTGGAAGCCCTAACAGGGTTTGGTGGTCAAAATAGACTAACTTTAGTCTCATAAGGGCACTGAAGAGGCTGCTTTATTAGCCCGAAAGGAGCTTGAAAAGCTCTGCCTGGCTCAGAATCCTTTTGTGGGATCAGAAAGCAGAGGATGATAAATCTGAGGAATGATCGAATAATTCACGGATGAGAGGGGCTAAAGAGTTTATAAAAGCACCATCGCCAACACTCACAAAGTATCTACTCGTATACACTATATTATTCGGCCTATTAGCTGAGCATTGTAGGATTAACAGACCTAGCAGAAGAGTGTGTGTTGATTCTGTTAGGAAGAGGATGAAGCGACAGTACACGTATGCTAGTGCAAAGTCTGTCAAGACTGTAATTCCTTATACTTATAGAAGGAAAGCCAACTATTTGTTTACACAGAAGAGCTACTTCCTAGTTTATAGAATCTACTAGAGAATACAAAACTAAACAAAGTGCTATAAAAATTTTTAAATTGCATAAGTTAGTTTTGTGAGACTTGAGCTTACTCATTCTTAATTAATTTGGATCTAAATTCCGCTTAATAAACTTGAAATAAAATGTATAGAATATTCTCGCTTAATAAACTTGAAAGTACATAAAATATCTACTACTATAGTATCAACAATTTTTCCTTTTTTTAGGTGATATTCCTTCCTGGCTGAATGGATCATTAATAAGAAATGGACCTGGATCATTAAGAGTTGGAGATGAGGAATTTACTCACCTTTTTGATAGTTCGGCATTACTGCATAGGTAGTTTTTTCTATTTAATAAAAAATCACTGATTTTATTTTTTCGTTATAGACATTTACCAAAACTAAAAAACATGGTGAGTGCGAAAATAATCCCACCATATACGTCAACGCTGATTGGCTGTTTGGGATTTTGCCTTACCGGTTTTGGTACTAATTGGCACGTGGAGGTTTGAAACTAACCCTGAATTTGAACATTAAATTTAAATTAACGACATTTCTCAGTTAAAGAAATATTCAAAATTGCATCATGCATAATTTGTCTTTTTGATTAATAAAAATAGCTATTTGTGTATTAAGAGATAATTAAGAACGGAAAGTCAAACTTTGCCCCTTGAGTTACAAAGTTTCCCACACGATGCATAGCGCAGCGTAAAAGCGTATGTAAAAATAGTATTGCGTTTCGTGCATAATGTATATTGCCTAAAACTTCTGATCTTCAAAATCTTTCTATTTTTTCTTAGAAATAGTACAAAAAATAAATAACGGCTCATCTGTTTAATGTGGGCTCAAAAAACCGTCATATTTTTTTTATCTTGTGACGTTTAATCTTTTAAATTATCTTTAAAATTATCTTTTAAATTATCTTTAAAATTATCTTTAAAATTATCTTTTAAATTATCTTCTAAAAAATCTTTTAAATTATCTTTTAAATTATCTTTTAAATTATCTTTTAAATTATCTTTTAAATTATCTTTTAAATTATCTTTTAAATTATCTTATCTTTTAAATTATCTTTTAAATTATCTTTTAAATTATCTTTTAAATTATCTTTTAAATTATCTTTTAAATTATCTTTTAAATTATCTTTTAAATTATCTTTTAAATTATCTTTTAAATTATCTTTTAAATTATCTTTTAAATTATCTTTTAAATTATCTTTTAAATTATCTTTTAAATTATCTTTTAAATTATCTTTTAAATTATCTTTTAAATTATCTTTTAAATTATCTTTTAAATTATCTTTTAAATTATCTTTTAAATTATCTTTTAAATTATCTTTTAAATTATCTTTTAAATTATCTTTTAAATTATCTTTTAAATTATCTTTTAAATTATCTTTTAAATTATCTTTTAAATTATCTTTTAAATTATCTTTTAAATTATCTTTTAAATTATCTTTTAAATTATCTTTTAAATTATCTTTTAAATTATCTTTTAAATTATCTTTTAAATTATCTTTTAAATTATCTTTTAAATTATCTTTTAAATTATCTTTTAAATTATCTTTTAAATTATCTTTTAAATTATCTTTTAAATTATCTTTTAAATTATCTTTTAAATTATCTTTTAAATTATCTTTTAAATTATCTTTTAAATTATCTTTTAAATTATCTTTTAAATTATCTTTTAAATTATCTTTTAAATTATCTTTTAAATTATCTTTTAAATTATCTTTTAAATTATCTTTTAAATTATCTTTTAAATTATCTTTTAAATTATCTTTTAAATTATCTTTTAAATTATCTTTTAAATTATCTTTTAAATTATCTTTTAAATTATCTTTTAAATTATCTTTTAAATTATCTTTTAAATTATCTTTTAAATTATCTTTTAAATTATCTTTTAAATTATCTTTTAAATTATCTTTTAAATTATCTTTTAAATTATCTTTTAAATTATCTTTTAAATTATCTTTTAAATTATCTTTTAAATTATCTTTTAAATTATCTTTTAAATTATCTTTTAAATTATCTTTTAAATTATCTTTTAAATTATCTTTTAAATTATCTTTTAAATTATCTTTTAAATTATCTTTTAAATTATCTTTTAAATTATCTTTTAAATTATCTTTTAAATTATCTTTTAAATTATCTTTTAAATTATCTTTTAAATTATCTTTTAAATTATCTTTTAAATTATCTTTTAAATTATCTTTTAAATTATCTTTTAAATTATCTTTTAAATTATCTTTTAAATTATCTTTTAAATTATCTTTTAAATTATCTTTTAAATTATCTTTTAAATTATCTTTTAAATTATCTTTTAAATTATCTTTTAAATTATCTTTTAAATTATCTTTTAAATTATCTTTTAAATTATCTTTTAAATTATCTTTTAAATTATCTTTTAAATTATCTTTTAAATTATCTTTTAAATTATCTTTTAAATTATCTTTTAAATTATCTTTTAAATTATCTTTTAAATTATCTTTTAAATTATCTTTTAAATTATCTTTTAAATTATCTTTTAAATTATCTTTTAAATTATCTTTTAAATTATCTTTTAAATTATCTTTTAAATTATCTTTTAAATTATCTTTTAAATTATCTTTTAAATTATCTTTTAAATTATCTTTTAAATTATCTTTTAAATTATCTTTTAAATTATCTTTTAAATTATCTTTTAAATTATCTTTTAAATTATCTTTTAAATTATCTTTTAAATTATCTTTTAAATTATCTTTTAAATTATCTTTTAAATTATCTTATCTTTTAAATTATCTTTTAAATTATCTTTTAAATTATCTTTTAAATTATCTTTTAAATTTTCTTTTAAATTATCTTTTAAACTATCTTTTAAATTATCTTTTAAATTATCTTTTAAATTATCTTTTAAATTATCTTTTAAATTATCTTTTAAATTATCTTTTAAATTATCTTTTAAATTATCTTTTAAATTATCTTTTAAATTATCTTTTAAATTATCTTTTAAATTATCTTTTAAATTATCTTTTAAATTATCTTTTAAATTATCTTTTAAATTATCTTTTAAATTATCTTTTAAATTATCTTTTAAATTATCTTTTAAATTATCTTTTAAATTATCTTTTAAATTATCTTTTAAATTATCTTTTAAATTATCTTTTAAATTATCTTTTAAATTATCTTTTAAATTATCTTTTAAATTATCTTTTAAATTATCTTTTAAATTATCTTTTAAATTATCTTTTAAATTATCTTTTAAATTATCTTTTAAATTATCTTTTAAATTATCTTTTAAAATATATTTTAAATTATCTTTTAAAATATATTTTAAATTATCTTCTAAATTATCTTTTAAATTATCTTTTAAATTATCTTTTAAATTATCTTTTAAATTATCTTTTAAATTATCTTTTAAATTATCTTTTAAATTATCTTTTAAATTATCTTTTAAATTATCTTTTAAATTATCTTTTAAATTATCTTTTAAATTATCTTTTAAATTATCTTTTAAATTATCTTTTAAATTATCTTTTAAATTATCTTTTAAATTATCTTTTAAATTATCTTTTAAATTATCTTTTAAATTATCTTTAAAATTATCTTTTAAGTTATCTTTTAAATTATCTTATAAATTATCTTTTAAAATATCTTTTAAAATATCTTTTAAAATATCTTTTAAAATATCTTTTAAATTATCTTTTAAATTATCTTATAAATTATCTTTTAAATTATCTTTTAAATTATCTTTTAAATTATCTTTTGAATTATTTTTTAAATTATCTTTTAAATTATCTTTTAAATTATCTTTTAAATTATCTGTGAAATTATTTTTTAAATTATCTTTGAAATTAACTGATTACTGATTGATAATGACATGAGAAAAAGGGTAAAAAGTCATGAATTACTGTCTCTACTATGAACTTTTTTAATAAATAATTATTAAAAGAGTTATTAGATGAAACGGTTAATTTTGTGTTTTATCAGTCAAAGCTGATTGGATATGCTGATACACGTGACTAGAAATTAACGATTTTAATTGGTTTTCTATTGATGCCAGTTTAATTGCACCTGTTTAAAAATCCTCAGATCGATCTCTGGCTAGTACATCTCTGGCTAGTACCTATATCTGCAGCCTCGTCAATTTGATCCTGGAATATACATCCCAAGACACTAAAATGAAAATCAAAGTTCTACATTAACATCAAAGAATATTTAGATATATATTTTAAGATCAAACGTTCTTATTGTTAAAGCAAACTGAATATGACCTCAGACTGATGACATCGTGCTACCGATTTTGCAACGATTTAAAATGAATGAATTAATAAAATAAATTAATAGGGAATTTTTAAAATATCCAAAGGGGGAGATATAGAAGGAACCTAAAATTTCTCTTCAATTTAATAATTTACAAAAAGTGTAAGTATAGAAGGTTCATTTTAATATTTCTTTTTTATATCGATGTCATAAGCATTAACTTGTTAGGTTATTGGACTCGTATTCTGTTTTGGCTTTGTTACTGATTCCTGTGACGACATTAGCCATAGCACTTCTGACTTGAATAGGGCTTTATCGTGGGGATATATTATAAAATTCGTGATTACATTACGCACTGACTATCAAATGAACGGTTTTACATTACATTATACAACTTTTTGTTACAAGTCAGTCACCCCGCCAGTCGAGGGTAATGATTATGATCGTGTGGAGAATGCTAATTTAAGAATAGATTATTTTTAATTCATTATATTAACTAGAAAAATATTCTGGTCCTAGTGGAATTTGAACACGCAACACATGTTTCCGCAAGTCTTGATGCTAACAGCAGTTAATACAATGTCGCATTGCTCAAATAAACAAATATACATATACCTACTTACATGTTGTAAACTCTAAAAATTGTAACTGAAGAAAAATTATAGTGCGCAACATGTGCACAAAGCCCTTTTCCCATTTTCGACTTCCAACCTTTAATATTATAAATAAAAATATATTCCAGATGGTGCAAAGTTGTTAAGTCTTACCATATAAACTATAAAATCCTTAATAATGATAATTTTGCTTTTTGGCTAAAAAATACAAGAATTTTTAATTTAAAAACGAAAATTTTATTAAAATTGCTTGGGATTATACCTCTTCACAATTCCCCATGTTTAATCAGATTTTTTTCAGAATCAATTGGCTTTTATTGGGCTTGATTTTTACTAAAAATTTCATGTTGATATCGCTTTTCGTTTTTTGATTTTTTTTTAATTTCAACCCTCCTTAACCCCTCATTTTTATTCAGATTTTTTCAAAATCAACTGGCTTCGTTCCCTTTCCTGGTTCTACTCGTTTATATTATACTCAGAGAAGGGCCTTTGGACTCTACTCCCTACAACTCCAAGTAATGGAGTGGTGAGACCTTATGTTATTATTACTGTATCAGTAATAAGTGTCCTTGTAGGAAGCGCATTATCGTAAATTCGTTTAAGTAAACGTTTACATATTTATTTTGCCCTAAACTGCTACTGAATCTAAAATAGGGGAGGAACTATTTTGTATATTGTATTTCCAATAAACCTATAATGAAAACTGTTTATTTTAGATTTGGAATTAAAAATGGCGAAGTTACTTACCAATGCCGGTTTTTAGATTCTGAAATATTTAGAAAAAATTCAGCTGCCAAAAGAATTGTTATGACAGAGTTTGGTACAAGAGTTGTTCAAGATCCATGTCAATCCATATTTAAAAGGTAAAAACAATATTAACTTCTTATATCACAAAATAAAATAGCGTTGGCTCTTCTGGCTTATTTATATGGAATAATATAACAGAAATAAAGATTGGCTGCTGTTTAAATCTAAAGAAACTTTGCATTTCAAATTTATTTCTCTCATATATTATTTGTACAGTGTCGGCCACTTAATGTTTTGCAATACGTATTGCACAAGTGCATGTAAAAACTAGAGAGAGTTAGCACAGATTACCTACTATATTAGGTAAGCTGTGGAGTTAGCATTAGAACTAGTAGGAAACGAATAATATCATCGTTGCCAGAACGAATAATATCATCGTTGCCAGTTTATACCGCGTTGTAACTTTGGCTGGGCCGTATAAACTGGCATCACTGATATTATTTGTTTCCTGCTCGCCCTAGTGCTAACTTCCTGTAGTTTAAACCGTATTTGAAAGCGCTCGATAGCCGATACTGTATATGACATTGTTTCCAGATTTAAAAGGTAAAAACAGTATTAACTTCCTGTGTCCTAAAATAAAATAGTGGTGGCTTTTTGGGCATATTTTCATGGAATGGTGTAACTTCCAGTTATTACAGAAATAGAGATTGGCTCTCGGTTTGGTTGCTGTTTATATCTAGAGAAACTTTTTATTTCTCTCCTATTTTATTTACATTTGAAATTTTTATATGTAGAAGACAGCGAGAAGAGAACAATTTTCCAAAACGTAGTGTAACTTTAACAACATGTTTAAAAGTGAAATCGAAAATGTTCATTTGACCACCGATTGACCATGTTTTTTTGCCCTTCGGACAGTAATCCATTTGAAGGTCCCACTACTTTCCCATTTACTAACTCATTCACGGTCATTCATATCACGTTGTCGATGGTTAAACGCTAGTCGGCTAGTCCCATGGTGGAACGCCCCAGACATCACCCATCCACGACGTGACCGGAAACCTCACTAATCTCGCAGCTAGCCTCTCCGGCGATTAACCATGTTTGACCCGTTGTAACTTTTTTGACTACCATCAAAAACAAAAATATAAAAAAAAATTAAATTGCGAGTGCTCGCCGGCACGCAACAGAGGTTTGACCAACGTTTGATCATATATGTCCATCATTATTTTTTTTAAACACGCCCTTTTAAGTAATTTGAAGAGGGTAAATTATAAAAAAACACGAATTCTGTGTCGAATTTCAACTTTGAAAAAGTAGTCATTTGTCAGGAGAGCACAAAAGGTTTGGAATTATGTATTGTTTGAACATCCCCTAAAATAATTCAAAAGACCCCAGAGAGAGTGAACATTAAAAAAACACTTTACAAAGCTAATTTCAACTTGGAAAAAATGATCAATCGTTAGAAGGGTTTAGAATTATGTGTAGACTATGAAGACTAGAGAAGAGGCGAATGTCGTCTTTATTTTTATAAAGTTCGCCAAATTGACTGTAGTTGGTTGGTCAATCGTAAACGACGTTAATTTTCTATGTAAGTCAATGTGAAATAAAGTTTTTTTTTAAATTGGTAAAAAGAATAAAAATAATATCAAAGCAAGAGTTACTTCGTTCCAGGTTGTAAAAAGGTACATAAATCGGATGTAAAAGTAAAGAAAACACAAGGAGAAATCAACAATCCAAAGTCTTTTTAAAGCTCCTAGCAGTAAAATAATCTATTTATTACAAAATATAATATTTATTGTAAAGTATTCACAACCCGTATCTTACGGAGTGTAGTTTATTTTATTATAAATTTCTATAATATAAAATTTTACAATTATAAATCCTGACTTAAAAATAACAGTAATTACACATTAAATTTAGCTTACTAGAAAATAAAATTTATTTTTAGTTTAGTTTTAATGTTAGATGAAGAGTTACTATTTTTATTTTTTTGCTGTCCCCAATTTTGTAATTTTAAATGTTTTTCTATAGGATCCTAAACGTTTAGAACAGTGGCGCATATCATCCCTAGGGCTAACAAAGCACTTTCTAGAATTCATGCTGTTTGCGAGCTACACTTTTTAAAAAATATTTCCAAATATTATGAGACTATTTTTACTGATGGTACTGTTAGTAAAATAAAAAGGCCAAAATTAAAGGATGAGACAATATCATGTAGATTCCCGAATTTTCCTTTATACTTGTATTTTAACAATAAACAATCTGTTAGCTGTGTTTTATTTTGCTCTTAAAACTATAACCTTTTCGAATTTGGTCATACCTAATTTACATTTTATATAGATAAAATTAAACAATTTATCAATTAAAACATGCAATACTTATTTAGAAATAAATACAACAAATTTTTTTCTGTGCTTTATTTAGCAATAGAAAAGTTTGTTTTTATTATTTTCACAAAATTATGTAGAATTCCCATAAGAAGCCATGTATTTTTAACATCACTTACAACACCAGCGCCCCTGCGGTGAATTGTAAAAGCTCAATTAGCATTCGTTTTTTGAGACCGTATTTCGAGTATGCCGATTCGCCTCATTCTCTCTAGTCTTCGTAGTGTCGACGTTTTACCATTATCTAAAATAATTCTGAGCACTTCAAAGACGGTGAAAATTCTAAAAAAAAAAACAACTTCCAACTCGAATTTCGACTGTTCAATCCTCAGGAAGGTACAATAAAGATCCACAAAGATTTAGAACTTTCGAATTTCGGAGGGCCAGCTTTCACACAACTCAACAACTAATATTAATTATTTTTTAGAATAGCTGCTATTTTTAAGAACGAAGTTTCCGACAACGCTATGATTTCTGTATATCCTTTTGGAGATAAGCTATATGCATTTAACGAAATACCAGTAGTTCATCAAATAAATTCGGAAACATTGGAAACAGAAGACAAAGTAAAAATTGACCAATACGTTTCAATAGTACATCATACGTCACATCCTCATGTTTTGAATGATGGTAAAATTGGGTTTATTTAATCAACTTATTTATTTTTGAATAAATCCGTTGTTTTTAAAAGTGTTCATTCATTCAGCTTTTTAGAAATAGTTTTATTAGCGCACATAAGTGAATAATTATTCGTTGGAAATAGCTATTTGTGTATTAAAGTAGAAAGTAGCACTTTGGCAGTTGAGACTACCAAAGGACTTTCTACTCAAATTATACACAATATTTTTTCTACGATCACACCAAAATAAAATAAATAATTTTTTTTAATTTTGACATATAAAGTGACATCTTTTTTGTAATCGCAGCAAGTCTCAAAACGATCTACTTTATGCAACCATAAAGTAGAACATTATGCAACTGACCACGAAAAGATGATTATATCAGCATTTACGAAATGAAAATGAATAAAAATGCCTTTTTTGGTTTTTAAATCAAAATTTACATTGCGTTTGAAAGGTTATATCGAAGAAAGAAAGGTTGGCAATATTTAAAAATAGATTTTGTCAGGAAACTTACGATTTGTATTTCTGTTTCCGTCGCTAATTTAAACAGTCTTGATCCATTCTAAATTTGCACAAAATCATCAAAACATTGTTTTACACGACACTGGCAAGACTTTATAGAGAAAAACTAAAAATATCAATATCCATATACTTATGCAAAATAATACACTTTCTTGAAAACTAGTTGAAAAAGAAAACTGTTTGTCCTAATGATTTTTGAAAATTAAAAGTATCACCAATAGTCATGTTAGACGATTTGACATTTACCTACAATAACAAGGTATTTATTTTCATAAAAAAACCTAAATACAGGATAACATGACTTTATTATAAAGAAACATGAAAAAAACTGTCTTATGATATGTAATTTAACGTTTAGCTAGCCCGACAACACAACAAGTGGTTGAAATGAAATAATTATATCATTTTACAGATAATTATGCAACTAACAATGCAATGAAATAGGGATGGACGATATTTTTGTCACAGTGATTTTGTCGCTGATATAATAGTAGGTAATTCATGAGATTGAAGTCGTGATAAGACAAAATTTTATGCTGGAAACAGAAAACAAAATCGAGTTAAAGGGGATTTATGCCCTTATATTCCCTTATGAAAATAGATGATGCTATTCGAGGTCATAAGACAAAAACGAAAACCATTTCGCAAGTTACAAATGTCATTGTTATTTCAAACTGTCTCCAATCGCTCCAAGTTGGAAGAATATACAGTGTGTGCAATAAAGTTGGATCCATATGGGATTTTTTAATATTACGATTGAAAAAAAATCAAATACAGCAATTTTCTGAAATAGTTGATTGGAATTACCTATACCTACAAAAGAATGATGGTGAATCATTTTTTAACCAAACAGAATCAAGTCAAAATTAGAAAAAAATATTGTATGTAACACATTGCGAAATGCGGTTTTGTGTATCTCGTTCATTTTGCGGGACCTCGCTCCGCTCGTCCCGTAAATATTTACTCGTTACACAAAATAAGGCATTTCGTAACTGGTTACATAAAATGCTATTATTTTATTAGAAATGGGTTACCTTCTTTCGTTATATATACTCGTAATATTGTAAGTGTATTTGACATAAGCCTACTCTATATGTCGGTAATTATTTATGATTTAATCAATTAATTATTTCCTACTGTTAAATGATTTAAAATATTAGGAAGTCAATTAAAATATTTATTTAGGCTATAGCAGTGGCGTGCGGTGATATTTTTGGAAGAGGAAGCGATTGTATAAAAATACAGCAGGCCAGTAAGCATACCGCCGCAGGCGAAAATTTTTCGCGGCGCATTCACCATTTTGTCAAAATCTCGCTTTTTTTTCCTCAGTACTACGAATATTCGAGATTGAGATTTTTGAAGTATTACTATTACTTTATTACCTAGTTTAGTACTAGAAGCTATAAAAAACTTACCATTGAAAAGCATTCTTGGTTTATTTAAACGTAAAAAAAACATTTAAGTGAAGTTTTTTTTTTATTTTTTCCAGCATTTTTCGCACAGTTGACACAGCAGTTGACATTTATTTATACTTAAGATCTATTCGCCTATCCTCAATGGCTGCAAATTTACGATATCTATAACATCATCGTAAAATTTTAGATTTTCTGATAACTGTTTAACAAGCTGTTTTTCAATGGATATTACGGCTAAATTAGAGACTGTCTTCACTTGTTCAATTTCGTATAAAACTTTTAATCCGCTTTAAAGCTGAAAAACTTCGCTCAACTGACGCACTTGTGGCTGGGATGGTTAGTACCAATTCACACAACTTGACGACTTCACAAAGGAACTTATTTAAACCAGTTGTTATAAGAAAATTTAACACATTTATGGGCGTCTTTTTATCACTAATTTCAGCTGTTTCATAAATAACACTTAACTGGGACTTTAATGCTGGAATATCGAAAAAATTTCCATAATTTAATTTTAGTGAATTGAAAGCTTCCGATGGAAATTTTGATGAATCGTAGTTACTAATATTAAAATTGCACAATTCACCAAATTTTAATTCGTTAAAGTTTTGAAATCGAGAGTTCATTTGTTGTAAAATATTATCAAAAATTTCGGTGTATAATCGACGATAGGAGGTCTCTCTGTCGCCGACATTATCAATTCTAATTCTCTTTCTTTCAGGTTATAAGCCAATGTTGTGAGTCTTATTCCAAAAGTGTTCAAACTGATCTCGTTTTTTATTCATTTTATTGTTAAAATCATCAATTTGTTTAATGCCAAAGCCAATGTCATTTGACTTTATAAAATTTCGAATAAAATGTCAGTAAAAAGGAAAATACCCTTTAGCAGCAGTAATATTTTTAGCATCCCATGTTTCTTTATTATCCCAAACGTCTTGAAAAAAGTGTATCAAAGAATCACGGTATTGAAACACTGTTTGCACTAAACGTCCACTGTAGTTCCATCGCGTCGGAGCAACTTTTGGAAACCTTTTTTGAACGTGAATGTCCAAAGCGCGAGTTCTTTTCGATGACTTTGAAAAGAAAGAAGCCAAACCACTAAGCGTCAAAAAGAAAACTTTGCAATCTATAATATTATCCATGCTTCGCGATAAAACCAAATTAAGTCTATGTGCTATACAGTGAACGAAAATTGCATGTATAAACTTCTCTTTCACTTTAGCTTGAAGGCCTCCTAAATGGCCAGCCATTACGGCAATACCATCGTAGCTCTGGGCAACAAGCTTAGAACCACATTCTAAACTTGAAATAATGTCACAAACAATTTTAAACAATGCATCTGCAGTTCGTTCGCTAGTGACGTCCAAAAATCCTAAGAATCGCTCTTGAGGAATGCCATCCAATAAATATCGCACAACAATGGATAATTGACTTTTAATGTGATCCATCACAACGTCGGCAGTGCATTTAATTAAATCATTTTGGATTCTGTTTGAGGTACCTCGGAAAGTCGTCGAATCAATAAAATGATTTTTTAGGGTATCATCGTATTTTGCTAAAAAAAATTTAGAAGGTCCATGTAATTTCCTCGATTGGCGGATCCACTTGCTTTATTGTGACCCTTAAAACTTAGTTCATGCTCTCCCAGGAAACCAAGTTACATCTATTAATCGTTGTAAGACGTCCCTATTTTTTTACCCTTTCATTGTGAATTTTGTTGCTTATTTTTAAATGATTGTCCAAACTATGTTCCATGCGATAGGTCCCGAATGTTTTTTCTTTGATTGTAGCACTTATATAAGATTTGCTATTTACATGTCGTTTTACACTTTTGTGAAAATTACTCAAGTCTGTAATACCGACTGAGTTCCAATGTGTTTTTCCGGCTATATTAAAAAGTAGGCAAGGCAACAAAACAATTTTTTCAAAGTTTTGCAGCCGGTTAACCATTCATACTTTTCATAGAACCCTACGTGAAAATGCCTGGTAAATTTCTTTGTTGACTTTTCTACTTTCGTCTCTAAATTAATAGGATCCTTTATTCTACTAGAACATTAAAAATGTCCGTTTTTTCTTCAAAATTTCTACCTGAAAATCCCTTTTTTCAATAAATAGCACACAATACAGACACAATTTACCACATTATTATTGTTCACAGGCACAGTGCATAGTTCCTCTATTTTACAAAAAGAAAAACAACTACGAAAAACAAACCGAAATCTATCTGAAGTCTACGATTTTCCTCACATGTCGATTCGCGGTGCGAATTGCAATATGCGTAAGGCGACGTAAAAATCGCGTCCTTTCGACCGTATTTAACGTGCCCAAACAGACTGACTACTGTCGCGGCAAAGCAAGGTCAATAACACGAAGCGAAATCAATTGGAAGATGAGCCGGCTTTTTCAAGACGCGCTTCCGCCGACGGACTCGAAGTAAATGGTGTGTGCGTTTACCCAATTAATTTTCTCATGGGTGGTGCGTGCGTTTACACATTACACTAATGAATTATTAGTACATTTACGAAGTTTACGTAATGTTTCTGAGAAAATATAGTACCTAATTTAATATTAATTTCTATGCATTGGGAAGCGGTGCTTCCCCCGCTTCCATGGACCGCACGCCCCTGAGGTATAGTCTGTGTTAAAATAACTACGAGCTCTATTTTATCTATAAATAAAATTAGACGTGCGCCAAAGTTACTTTTCGTTTAAGAGCGCCAATAATGTCAAATTATGACAGCTTGCAGAAAACATCAACTTTGAAGTTACTTTTCAAGGTACAAAAGCCTATTTTCGATAGTGATCGTAGAAAAAGTATATTGTACAACTCGTGCGAATACCTATTCCTGAGCCGTAAGCGAGAAGTATTCTAATTTCCGCACTAGTTACACAATATACTATTTTTAATACTTATGCTTCTATATTATTTTAATAGGTACTGTATACAATTTAGGATTGTCTGTTTATGCTACTGGGCTATACCATACGATAGTTCGATACCCAAAAATTGAAAATGGTAAGCATTTCCTTATTTTCCAACATACAAGTTTTCTAATAAATATACGTTACAGGTAATTCAAAGTCCATGTTCAAAAATGGAGAAATCGTGGCAACTATTCCAGCAAGATGGACTTTAAATCCTTCATATATGCATAGTTTTGGTGAGTTTGTAGCTACAACTACACTTTATAAAAGGAATTTATTATCAGATAAAAACCAAGACGAGTCAAAGAAAAAACAAACTTGACAGACTGACAAAGGCAGAGATATGAGATATGTCACGCTTTTGAATGGAATTTAAAGTTTAATTTAAGGAAGACGAGTTCTTTCATTAACTGCAGCAAACTCAGATATAATGATTTATTCCGCAGACAACAGAAAAATGTTGAATCTCACACCTAACATTAGATTTCAATATTAATTTTTTTAAGTTCGCTATAAATGGAATGAGATATATTAAAAAGTTAGAAAACAATATTTGTTATTGCTTCATAAAAGTTTTATTTTGGTTACCATATTTTCTTTCAGGAATAACTGACAACTACTACATTATTGTAGAGCAACCGTTAAGTATATCAGTACCTGGTATTATAACATCAAAATTTAAAAATGAACCTTTGGCTGGTTGTTTTAGATGGTTCCATGAAGAATATGTAAGTGTTTTTTCATGTATGTAATAAACAATTTTTGAAAACTAAACAATAAATGTTTTCACCATATGAATTTCCACTATATAAAGTTAGATATTTTCCTGGCAAAACATAAGATGGGATCTAATGAATACTGCGCATAAATTTGAAAAACTACACTTGAATCAGCCATTTTTGAGCTATGTAAATTTATTTGTTCTGTATAACCCCTATACCAAGCCTATACCCGAGCTTATCGTGCATACAATTTATACAATAAAATATTGGTTTCTGTCATGTTAAAACTTTTAATTTGATTTTTCCAAAAATAAAAAATATGTGTGACACTCGGGGACTGCCGCGGTAAAGCTATTGCATAGCATTTTTTATCAACTAATGCAATTATAATTATTTATTTATTTTATTTATGCAGTATTTTTTTTCTTTGATATTAATTCAAGTTACACTTTTTGAGCGTGGTGACCGATAAGAAAACAATTTTTTTTCTTTTATTGAATAAATGAGAAGTTAATATTGATTAAAATATTTTTATTATCTTACAATACATGTAGGTTATTCAGAAATTTTTATCATTGAAACTATAGGTTTATGGTAACTGAAATAAGAAACATAAGTTTGCGACTTGATATCCTCTAAATATCTGGAAAATACCGCGTCAATGGTGGTCCCATATTTTGTTGTGGATTCTTGTGGATCATTATTAATTTTCAAATTCAATTTTTCCGAAATTGTGTCTAAAAGAATCAGTTATGAGCAGTTAGCAGCTAGTCTACACCCATACGTCTAGTCGCACGCACACAAACACCATGCCGAACTGAAACGACGTTAGACGATGCACGGCTTTCAACGCCGCACCGCTGTGCCCCGGTCGGAGTGGGGGGTGTTAGGTTTATTTTCGTTACGGAATTTCTTTTTCGATTTTTTGATTTTTCGAATTTTCGATTTTTTTTGATTTTTTTTGATTTTTCGAATTTTCGATTTTTAGATTTTTCGGTTTTTCGATTTTTTGATTTTTCGAGGGTGTTAGATTTATTTTTGTTACGGAATTTCTTGATTCAGTCGCCGCGCTCAAAGCCCGCGTTAAAAGCTTTGCAATAGCTTAAAAATGCTATAGGCCTTTCCCATTGATCTATTACTAATGCGCAAATCCTAGTTTGTTAAAATTCAAAATTTGTTGTTTTTATGAAGACTAGAGAGAATGAGGCGAATCGGCAATGGTCAAATTTCAAATTTCCATCCTTCTTTTTGTAAAGTTCGCAAAATTGACTGTAGTTGGCATGTCTAATGACATCGCACTTAATTTTTTATGCAAGTCAATGTAAAATAAAGGAATTTTTTAAAAAATTGTTGAAAAGAATCAAAATAATGTGAAAAAAAGTACCTGAGTACAAGTAACATGAGTGGCAAAAAAACATCAAAGCATTTACGTCGTTTCAGATTGTAAAAGAGGATAAAAATCAAATGTAAAACTAAATAAAACACTAGAAGAAATCAATTCAATGTCTTTTTAATTGTCAGTGGAACCATAATTACATCATCACTGAACTAGCGCATTACACAACCGTAAATGTCATTTTAAACTTTTATTATTGGTAGGGGAGCCAGTGGCACTTTTAAGTGTTATTTGCGCAGGACAAAATTATAAATATTTTATTTATTCTTACCTTGTAGAAAAATGAAATACTTTGCTAGTCCCTGCAGCGATGGAGTCCTCGACGACGATGTCTTAAAAAGCCTGTTTTTTAGATGTCTTGTGCAAATGTGTACCAAAAAATTGTCACTGGCTCCCCTACTATATGGACTAGATGATAGTTGTTTAAAGTAACGATGGCTGGCAGGGAGTAATCGTCGTAGCCAACCCAACAGTTTTCATTTTTCGGCTACATAATAGATATTGGTTGGCCTCAGTTTCGTCGAACCCAAATGTACCAAACAGATGTACCGTCAGTCCGGATCGACATTTGGCGTACACCTTATTCACCCTAAATCCATACAGTGTTCAGCAAAGTTTAATTATGGGACGGCTGAAAGAAGGATGTGTCCGATAATTTTGTCCACAAAATGCAAGGCAGCACTGTAGACCACGCAGTTTGGTATTAAGGCTCGAAATTGTTTAAAGAAGGACAAGCTTACGTAGCACTGAGTCGAGTAAAGTCTTTCGAAGGATTATGTATTGGGGAGTTAGACTTCAACAAATTGACAGGAAAGAGACCTTGAAATAATGAGGCACGCCCATATGCACCGTTTTAAAATTTAATCCAGATTTGCAAATCTCGTTTAAATGACTAGTGGTTATTTTCTATGCACCGGCTAAGGATTAGATAATCGAGTTTAGTAATCTGACAACACTGGATTTTTATAAATTTCAGAAAAAAAGAGAAGAAGAAAACTTCAAATCTGAGTTGGAGAGTCAAAGGAAAAGAGGCCGTTTGAAGATAGAGGCCCCATTTTTTTGAATGTACCAAAACCGTAAACACACCGTATATCAAATTTTACGCAGGGCAAAAAAAGAATGTCAAATGAATTTAAAAAATAATTCCATGGTTAGATAGCAAAACCAGTAACATTTTTGGCAAGTAACATAATACTGTTGTCTCTGATAATACATACAAATTGCTGTATCAAGCTTTTCTATGCAAAACGATATACCTGTGAATACTGTCCCTATATACTGTGCATGTTCAAAACTAGATGACATATTTTCAGTATTTAAAAGTGGGCAATATTACATAAATAATATATGTATTGCTTACTTATTTTTACCCTCTTCAACATACCTGGATTTGCCATCTAACTACAGAAATATGTTGTAACGTTAGAATATAAAAAACTTCTTAAAAATTACAAAATTGCCCATGGTATAAAAATTTTCATTCCTCTCGTAATTTTGACTAGAATATTTGTCACCTTCCAGGAAAAACTGGCATTCTATTTCCGTTTTTTAATAAAATTAAAATAAAATAAATACAAGAGACACAAATAGAAAGTTCCAAATACACTGATAAACCGTTGACATCTTTTTGACGTTAGAAAATCTCGTTTAAATAATTTAATCCTCCGATATTGACGGATTTAGAATAAAATCGGATTAAGAATGATTTTTATTACGGTGCATAGCTAAAAACGGTACTAAACGCGATTAAACCCTTAATCTGGATTAAACGTGTACGGTGCATACGGGCGTTATATAATAATATTTACTCAGGTTACGCTACGCCCCCTTTTTTATTTTTGCGTCTAATCAATGCCCTAAACTGATCAGCGAATGGTGTGATGACGGACCTAGGACCTACCTAATTATTTTTAAGCTTTTAGTAAATTATCTACATCATTATTTTTCTTTTTAATATAATCATTTTACTTAAAAATTGTTTTACCAATTTTATATTTAAATTAATCTATAATATGAAAATAAATAGCAAAATGTGTTGTAAGCGCATAACGTGTGAACGGCTGGACCGATTTCGCTAATTCTTTTTTTGTTGTGTTTGTTATCAGGAGAAGGTTCTTATGGAAGAAAAAATTAAGAAAATTGCGCGGAAAATTAGAAAATTTCTATATATATATATAAAAATTAATCCCTATTTCCCTTGGTCACGGCATCACGCGTGAACGGCTGGACCGATTTCGCTAATTCTTTTTTTGTTGACATAACGCGTGAACGGCTGGACCGATTTCGTTAATTCTTTTTTGTTGTGTTTGTTATTGTCAGGAGAAGGTTCTTATGAAAGAAAAAATTAAGAAAATTGCGCGGAAAATTAGAAAATTTCTATATATAAAAATGAATCCCTATTTCCCTTGGTCACGGCATCACACGTGAACGGCTGCACCGATTTCGCTAATTCTTTTTTTGTTGGCATCACGCCCCAGACAGCACACTGAATCCTTTGGATATCTACTGGACATCCCAATATCCACTGAATGTCCAGTCCATGGTGGATATCTATTTTATATCCATGAGATGTAATTTATAGACATGCAAATGTCCATAAATAATAGTAATTATATAGAAAATTATTAAAAAATTACGCTATTGTGCTCGCCATTGTGGCTAATAGTACCGTTCAGATATTTAAAATTAATTTTTTTAAGGTATATTCAATATCCCATGGACATCCACTAAATATATCAAAGTCTAGGCGCGAACGCAAACCATCGTGGATATCCACTAGATTTAATTTTTGATTTTGCTTACTAAGTATAGATGGCGATACCACTTTCGCATCTACTCATGCTCAACCCGCCGTAATTGAGTTCGATCGAAATTTGTGTCTCAATCAGACTCCATTAGAGACTGGAGTCGAGAATTTCCATTTATTGCTGAAGAGTCCTAATAAGGATGACTTTCTCCTTAGTGGGCAAAATCAAAGGCAGAGTGCTGAAAATATTTTGAGTGTTGAAAATATTTTTTATGTCTGCTATTTTCTTTCGACGTTATTCAATAATCATTGGTTTCTTATGAACCTCTACTAAAGATACCCATAAAATATTTTGCTGAATATCCGAATATCTTCTATATCCTGGGATATAGACGGACATTTGGTTGGATATCCACAAAATATATTCTGTGGATATCTCTGGGATTTCTTGCATTGTCTGGAAGATACCCATTAGATATTTTGCTGGATAATCCATAGGATATCTTCTATATTCTGGATATAGACGGACATTTGGATATCCATATTAGATCCACAGTATATTTCTGATATCCTGTGGATATATTGCCTGTGGATATATTGGATATCCACAAAAGATATTATGTGGATATCTCTGGGATTTGGTGTGTTGTCTGGGGCGTGAATGGCTGGACCGATTTCGCTAATTCTTTTTTTGTTGTGTTTGTTATTGCCAGGAGAAGGTTTTTATGAGAGAAAAAAATAAGAAAATTGCGTGGAAAATTAGAAAATTTCTATATATATAAAAATGAATCCGTATTTCCCTTGGTCACGGCATCACGCGTGAACGGCTGGACCGATTTGGCTAATTCTTTTTTTGTTTAGAATAATAAACACTTTGTTTCTGAAATATTTTTTTAGTTAATTATACCAATTCGAAATCAATATTCATAGTTAAGACAGGACAACGTCTGTCGGGTCCGCTGGTGTCATAATAAAAAGGGCAAATGCAGAGATTAGGGACATAAAGGCGATTTTAAATCAGTTACTAGAAATGTGACCAAGTCAAGTGTGGTGAAGGTGCTTACGTCATTATAATGACGTTATATTATCTGATTTAAAAATGTTTGATTTATATTGACACTAACTTGACAATACGCATGACATTGTCAATCGCGAATTTTTGTGTATTATGTATTGTAGTTAGGATTTGGTTTTGAATTTGAAGGATAAACAAGTTATAAAAGTAATTTTAAAAAACCGACTTCAAAATCGTGCAGATGCCATCACCACATCTTAACCAAATTTAAAGGGGGACCACCTCTAAGTTGTCCCTTTACTAACAAAAAAAAAGAATCATAGAAATCGGACAAGGTTGTAAAGAATTACCACTAAACTTACATAAAAAATGAAGAGTTTGAGGATTTTCTAATGGACTCAATTATTAGATTTTGACCAAATTGATATGGGACCACCCCTGAAGTACCCCCTGTCTAACAAAAAAAAAACATTAAAACCGGATACCATGTTAAAGAATTATCGCTGAATATACGTAAAAAAATATATTACGACGAATTGAGAACCTCCTCCTTTTTTGAAGTCAGTTAATAAATATTTGTTTTGTGTACTGATCACAGATGAAGAGAAAATTGGTGTTGTAGTTGCTAATTGGTGTTGTAGGGTCTTTGGCGTCAGAAATTTTATCAAACCTTTTGCCATGTTCATCAGTAAATCTTGGCTATCTTCAAAAATAAATTGGCTTTTCATTTACAAAAACCTTTTATTGCGTTCATATCTAGGTACTAAGCTAGGGTTGCCAGACGGCTCGCTTTAGGCGAAATTGTTGGCACGCGTTACGCCAAAGTAAGAAAATGACCCACATTTTAACTAAATGCTACGCTTTTTCAATCCAAAGTTATAGATAAAGAAATTTTTGACCCTTTTTCGGAATATCCTCAAAAAAAGGACCTGATAGTTTATAAAAAGATAAGTGGAGAACTTTTTTTAGATCTCCACAAAGAAAGGATCTTATTTTATAAAAATACCTGTTTTTTTAACCTGATCTTTGTCGTCATCGTTGTCCCGCTTTTCCCTTTCATAAATCTAGCAACCCTATACTCAGCCTTTCTTTCGATTTTACAAATAACACAACCGAACAATAATTTAATAATTAAAAAGCAAAAGTTTTACATTTGTCATTTCATTTGACATTTCATACCTGTGATGACTACGTTTTTACTGTAGTCATGTTAAACTTGACCATTTCAAGACTATATTCAATATGACGTCATTGTTTTTGATTTATATCAGTGTAGTCAATCATATTCAAGACCAAGTAACTGATTTAAAATCGCCTAAAGATAGGAAACGCAACGACCCCAATAACGATGGCGTCATCTATGCGTCTCAGATGTTAACTAAAAATATATGTCGTTTGCAGACAGACCAGCGTTGCCAAATATTTTTTTAAGAGATCGTACAAGTAGAGTAGAAAAATGGTATTTCGACAAAAAAATCGTAAAATAGGTTTATGTTTAGCATTATATAGCTTAAATAGAATGAATAAATAAAAAAAAACTTTGGCATGACAATGTATTTTTCTATTTATAAAAATGTTTACAACAAAAAAAAACTAAAGAAAATACATGAAACTTTAAATTAACACATAAAGTAATCAATTAACTGTCACTTGAAAGTGATTGAAATTTTGAATGCAAGTTTTTCTTATGCCGTGATAGTTTGTGTTGGTACAAAATGATTATGGTCAAAATCACGATAAGTGAGAACGAAAATGACTGCCTTCAGAAATTACGAACGGTCTATGAATCTTTGAAAGTAGCTTTTGATTTTTATTGTTTTATGTTCTGAAGTTGTTGCAGATATTTAAATAAACCCAATAAAAAAGTGAAGATCATATTTTTACGTACGATTTGACTGATGCAATCGTACATCGTACAGAGAGTTAAAAAAATCTTATAAATACGATTTAAATCGTATAGTTGGCAACACTGAGACAGACAGTAGACGTGGACAGCAGTGGATAGTTTGTAAATGTAAATGTCAGTTTTATGTATATCGAAGAATCCTGAATTTAAATTTTAAATTTTGAGTTCATGATTGTGTTATCCTGTACATGGACTAAGTGAAATGGTTGTGGTTATTTTTATGTGAAATTTGAGGACAATAATTATATTTTGTAATATTATTGAAATCGGACACCGTGTTAAAGAATTATCGCTGAACATACATTAAAAAAAAAAAAAAAAAAATCGCGACGAATTGATAACCTTCCTTTTTTGAAGTCGGTTAAAAATGGCTTCAAAACGTTAGAAAGAAGATTTGACATAGGAAGAAAAATATCTGAATTCCCATTATTAAATTTGCACTCAAAATTTTTAAATAAGACACCATTGGCCATTCGTTTGGAAAATAAAAACAGAATGTAATTTTACAAATAACGATCAAAAATTAAAAAATATTTATCAAGAATAGATTTACAATAATTAATCGATAATAGTAAGTGTATTATTATTATTTTTAAAAAATAATTTAGCGTATTTACATTGTTTAATTTTATTTCCAAGAACATGAGAATGCAGTCGATATTTATACAACCTTTATTATAAGGTTTTTAAATTTCCCTCTACATTATTTGATATCGATGAAAGCGCCACATAGTGAGTCAGATGTTAACTGCGTTAAAGCTGGTCGTTGTTAAGCATTGGCTTCTTATGAGCGTTTCCTATCTTTATCTCCCTTATCTCTGGGCAAATGGAAATGAATTGGGCGATCTTGGGGGGCCCATAAATTCGTTTCTGGGATGTAGGTTGTGTTCCCAATCATTCGCAATGTTTATATGCATGGGGATTGAAACGGAAATAGTAGAATAAGGAGAAAGGGAATAAATACAACTGGGCGACCCATAAAAGAAAGGACTAAATAATGATATTATTTAATTTCATAGTTTTAAATAGTTTTGGTTGCTTTTTTTTAGACAAGGATATCTGTAGTTTCAAGAAGCACAGGCAAATTGTACAGAACATTTTATGCAGAATCATTTTTTTATCTCCACATTATCAACCAATATGAATCTGAAAACGATATAGTTATTGATATCTGCATTTATAAAGACCCTTATATGTTGGACTGCATGTATGTCGAAACAATGAAGGTTTGTATAAAAAATTCATTTATTTTTATTGTAGAGCTAAGTAGATTAATTGAAAACATTTTTTGTTGGGTATATCCCAAAAAATGGTAGGTGGCTCAGTGGTTAGAGTCTGGACTTGCGAATCCAAGGATCCGCGGTTCGAATCCCACCGTTGGCCGGGATATTTTTATTTAATTTAATTATTTAAAAATAATTATGATGCCTGGATAAGATTCCCCATTTCGACCATTCACTGTTGCGTTCTAATCAGTGCTGTTCCTAAAGTGGCGCTGGGAAACAATAAAAAAGCCTACACAGAACATACATTAATCAAAATAAAACACAAACTGAGCCTGGCTTATTAGGTATGTACGAGTACATACACCTAAGCTATAAATAAAAAAAAAATACCCCAAAAAATGTCAAATCTGGAAAAACCAACGTACTCGTATTTATAAGTAATACACTGTGTTCAATATTGATATTCAAATAAATATTATTTTTTTTTAAATATGTAACCTTTTAGTCAATGCAACAAAATCCTGATTATGCTAAAATGTTCAGAGGTCGACCAGCACGATTTGTACTACCAATAAATCCTGATTTAAATACAACTGAAAAAACGCAACTTCATAATGGAAAAATGATAGTCAAACCAGAAAAGCTGTGCAATCTTGGCTGTGAAACACCCAGAATCAACTATGAAAGCTATTTAGGTAAAATAAACTAAGTATTTCTTTTTTAAAATAACCCTAGAAATGTAATATCGGAATATTATTGATACTATGTAATTAGCAATAAATGCCATTAAATACTAATAAAACATCCCAATTCTAAAATAAAAAGAAATTTTTTGTAAGGACAACTAACAGAAAACATAAGACTGCCTACACAATCCCTCCAAGTTCACAGACATAGATAAATAGAAAGATACTTTATTTTATTACGTAGGTACCATATAAATGTTTTATGTTTATATCATGTCAGAAAAATATACATATTTGAATCCCTAACTTTAAAAAGGGGACTGAAATATTTTAGCAAAAATGTTATAATGCGGATTTCCATTCATGTGATCTAGACACACATCGTTTGCAGTAAGACTGGGATCTCTGCCCTGCCTTGGAGGCGATTAAATGAGAATCAAAGTTTCTGGTAACTGCAATAAGGAGACATCTGTTGTAGAAATCCCCTTGTTGCCGCAAACGAGGATCACGGTTGCTCGTTGGCACTATCATGCTGTCTCGTGTTTATACTTTTTTTTCTTGTTTGTGCTGAAATTCGTTTAGTTTAAGCTTGGTTGGTGTATAGAATAGGGTTATATTTCGAGTTTTTTAAACTATGCATAGTGACAGCAATTCGCCTCCTTCTAAACGAAAAAAAGGGCTATTCACTAGCCCACTGAAATTTAAGCTGCAGAAGCCATCTGACGAGGTCCTTGAACTTCCTCACTTTAGGGGACAGGACACCACTAATGAAGCCAAAGTTGGAGATTTTAAGGAAATGATAAAATTCTTCGTAAAATACATTCCCGAGGGACTTGTTTTGCCAACCAAGACAGAAGGAGAACAAGCCGAGTAACCATTGCCACCTCATTAAATATTTTTGGCTGCTGTAAGTTTGTTAGCATACATTTGGCATATATTTTTGTTTATAAATAAGCAGTTTGTTGTACACTGACAACTTGGATTTTCTTCCTAGGAGCCAATACATATCGCTGTTCCGGTAAAACAATGACGCAAATGCAAAATTATAAATTTTTCAGGAGAGACAAAAAACGAATATTATTACTTCCATATTTGGGCACATAAATCACAAAAAACTTGTTCTAAATATCAAATACGACATTTAACCATGGAGTAAGTAATGTCTTCCTTAAATTTGCAGACACAACTGTTCATATGTTATTGTTTTTAAAAAGTGGAGGGGAAAACATTAATATTTGAAAACTGACGTAACTACCATCTAGATGGCTGGGAGTGAATATAAAATTTCGCCGTTGTTATACCGTATAGAGACTAATTTGGAAACTAATGACATGTTAAAATCAAAATGTCACAATTTTACACTTGCGTCATTGTTTTACCGGAACGGCGATATTTTGAATTTAAGTTCAAGTTCTTTATGCTTCTTTTGTATGTGCTCTTCCATTTAAGTCGTACATCTAGGTCAGCGGTTCTCAAACTTTTTTGGCGACGGAATCCTTTTGTATTTTTGACGGAACTCTAAAATAATAATAGATTTTGTAAACTTTATATTGGTTTAGATAGATTTTATTTTACTTTGCAACTCCGGGGCATTTCTAAAAAATAGTCCTCGAGCAAAATCAGATCCTTTCTTGTGGCGAACTTGCTCATAGTACTCCTTTAGTATTTTTTTTTATTATGACTATTATTTTCGCGGAGCCCCACAGAGGCTTTGCGGAGCCCTAGGGTTCCGCAGAGCACACTATGAGAAACGCTGATCTAGGTTCATCCCTAGGAATTTAACTTTATATTCTTATTTGTTTCGATTCATTTTGTCGAAGAGTAAAATCAACATGCATTGATTAAGTTTGATTTACTTCTATTTTCTATTTTTTGCTTATAACTTGATTCTGTTGAAGGTTTCCTGTCAAGAAATATAGCTTAGCATATATACTTTTCTTCGTATGCTTTTTCAATAATATCGCTTATCCTGTGTTTGTTTCTAAAACCAAATTGGTAAGAAGGGATCAGATTTTTATTTTCAATTATTGATTTTAGTCGTTTTAGTAGTAGCTTTTCAAAAAACTTAGATATTATTGGTGACAAAGATATAGATCTATATGATGACACTTCATTCGGAAGTTTTCCTGGCTTAGGAATTAGCCATTTTCCACGCATCTAGTATTATTTAAGGCGAAATGCTGCACTTATGAAGTATGTCAATTTAAAGATAGCCTTTCGGCACTTTCGTTAATATTTCTCCTTAAATAATGGGGATTTCTGTGGGTTGATGTTTGTCTGAATTTCTTTCGCAACTTTATTGTGAGTAACTAGCCTAATTTCAAGCTGTTCCGTATTATGGTTCGTCTAGTTAGAAATGTCTTGATTTTCATCTAATTGGAACGTCTTTTGTAGGTGGTCAGCGAAAATATCAGCTTTCTGTTGATTGTCTCTTGTCCATTTGTTACCTACTATTCTGATAGGACAGTGCGATTACACGAAATTTGTTATCTTTTTAGTTGCCTTCCAGAGCGAATAATCAGTTTCTTTATCATTTGTTAGGTATCTGCTAAGGTAGTTCACTCGTAAAACGAAATTGAAATATAAGGCTAATGAAAGTGTCTTTTACGTAACTAAAAAAAATAAATTTTTTGACAACCTGTAAAACGAGATATTAACAATTAAAATGTGCATAATTAACACTCTTGAAGCCTGTCATGTACACAAGCAATGCATTTGTTTTAAGATATCTCGAAGACCGTTCTTACTATATATATTTTTACATTTAATGTAAAGTAAATCAAGAAGTTACAAAATTTTATAAAAAAAACGGTGAATTGTTTGACCGTTTTGATAAAAAGATATAGATTTTTCAAATAAAAATATTTTTAAAGCTGTCGATGCGTAGTGGGGTATACTTAACCCTCGGTAACTCAAATGTCTGTTAGATTATTTTAGGCTTGTTTTGGTTCTTCCGGAAACTAGTTCAGAATCACCGAATTGCACTCGACCAGGTAAGTGGTTGTTATAACCTCGCGACGTGTTCTTGAAAAATTAATTCGTCCACTGTATTTGAGAATATTTGTGTACGACTGTCGCGAGTGAACTACCTTAAAGGATTCTTGATTGTGATTTAGGATTTCTCTTCTCAATCTTTGGGTAGCTCTATTTAATATACTTTTGTTGGTAAATAAAGTATTTTTATACAATACACGTATTAATTTCTTTAAAAATAAATTAGTAATGGAGTAACTGCAAAAGAGAGACAACTACAAAATATACAGAATCACTTAAGTCAAAATACGTAAAAAAATTAAAATTAAAGGGACTGTTGTCCTTCATATATGCTAAAAGGTAAATTTGTGCCCCAATATTTTGTCTGTAGGTTCAGTTCCATCGCGTTTAGTTTTTTGCTTCTAGAGCAATTATTTTAATTTCAGCAGAAGTCTCCTTATTTTATTGATTTATTTGCAAATAGTGACGCTATTCTTGGATATGTTTGCCTCCCTGATGTTACAATAATGCGACCATATGAGAATAATCTATCTATCTGAATAAATCAAGAAGGGCGAAATTTATCTTAGAATGACAAACTCCTAAAAATGCAAATTTCAGAGGTCGACTGTGCCAATATAAAAAGTACACACATGTAACTCGACATCCAGCGGAAATATCATTCCGTATTTTCATCTTTTATTTTCCTCCATATGTCGACGTATACTTTAATCCGGAAATAATAGGCAGTATTTGAATGTGTGAAGAATGCCGATAGAGTTGTCTTATGCAATATATACTTGCCACTGAAAAATCCCCTCTTGTTCTCTAAGCTTAGAAAATCTCTCTAAACTTTAGTGGAATGACAGATGACATTCTTCCCATATTCCATTACTGCCTTCCTGCAATAGATAGCTATACTGTTACGAGTTTATTCTCATTTCTGTTCTAGGTATTATTTTTAATTAACTTGCTGAACTACCATATATGATGGCTTAATTATTATTTCTTTAATTTGTAGGTAAACCTTACCGATATTTTTACGCAATAAGTGCTGATGTTGACGCGGATAATCCAGGTACAGTAAGTAACTTTCTATTTTTACCTGATTCTTTGTGAACTGTCAATTTTTTACAGCTCATAAAAGTTGATACTCAAAATAAATCTACTAAAACGTGGGGTGAAAAAAACTGCTATCCCAGCGAACCAATATTTGTACCCAGTCCAGGATCCACAGTAAGTAACTAGTTTTTACTTTAATATACAGTACTGACCAGATCAAATCTCTAGTCCTACATTGCTTGCCTTGAAGTGAATAATAAATTGCGTTAGCATATTATGCAGGAGAAGAAACGATATAGTATCAGTGTTGTTAGTTTCATGTCGCTAACGCGCTACCGACCGTTTACTACTTTTTACTACATGTCAGATTAGTAACATAATTCTCCATAAAGACCATACATAAAAAGTTTTATTGCAGAAAGAAGATGAAGGCATAATTTTATCAGCTATGGTTTGGGGGAGAGAAGATACCAATCACGTTGGATTGTTGGTACTTGATGGACAAACATTTACCGAATTAGGTAGAGCAGAGTTTAAAACCCAAAGTCCAGTTCCGAAATGCCTACATGGATGGTTTTTGGCAGAATGATATTAATTAAAAAGAACTTTAAATTAAAATAAGCATATATTATTAAAACGATTTTAAATAAATTAACAAACTGTAGAAACAACAATACAGTTAACATAGTCTATCTAATATAATTAATACACCTAAGTTTATATATTATTTTCGGCAAATAAAAATATTTAGGAATGAAGTGGTTGTTTTAAATACAAAAAATATATTGTTGAGGCTAATTTTTTTTATAAATATGTTACATCAATATTATATTCATTAAAAGAATCATTTTAGCAAAACAATACCTCTAACGTAGAATTTGCCAATAAGCTATTCTATAAATAATAAAACCGTTCAAATGGTTTATTTTTTTGTTGCAATTGTGCTTTTCTTTAAATTTTTCTGGTTTTTATCACTATATTTTCGTCAAAAATTGTGAAATGTATTTAATTTTATCCTGGAAAGGTAAGAGGTATTTATTAATACTATAAGATATTTGAGATTAAATAAATAAATCTCAATAGCAATATTATGTATGCAAATTAAAATCAATAGTTAAAAACAAAAACATGTGCCAACCTCGAGTTATTAACCTCACACATAAAGGTAAGATCTAGGATTAGTCCTCAGATGTCCCAAAATGTAAAACGCTCAATAAGCGGTTGCAAGCAGTCCATTCCATTTGAGATAAGTACAGAGGTTTCTCTTATGACGATAGTCGCAGAAACTAAATTTTATAATAATAAAGTTGGTAAGTACCTACTAATTTGAAATTGACGATTTCCCCAAGAAATAACAGATTCTGAAAAAAAATTAAGAATGGGACACAGAACAACTGAAGAATCTCCGATTAAACGAAATACAGGTTGTTAATATTGAAAATTCAAAAATTATTAATAACTATAATTTTTCTAAACTTGGTAAACATTGTTAGCGTCATATGATACACCTATTACTTAAACAATCAGTTAAATAAACTTTACCAGTGGCGTACAACACTTATAAGTAACACTTTCATCCCCTCTAAATTTTACGCCACTGACCAAAAACTTATTTGGACTATACTTCATTTTCTGATGTTTTTTTTAATAAATCATGTACTCTTGTTGGGAACTCATACAGTGGTTGGTTTTCGAGATATTCACATTCAAAGGTGGATATTCATTTTAATTTATTTTTTAATTTTGATTTTTGTATAAAACTGCAAACGTTTTTGGTGTTATAAGATACACCAATCAGCAGAAATCAGTGAAGTACGGCATAGGTAAGTAACACCTGCATTCGTTATAAATTTTACGCCTCTCCAAAAACTTATTTGCACTATAAATTAGAATGTTTTCATGTTTTTTAAATAAATAATGTACTCTTATTGGGAATTTATAATAAAATCCAAAATTACAAAATAAATTAAAATGATGAATATCCACTTTGAGTGGATACTCATCATTCAAGAAGAGGACATGATTTATTTAAAAACATCAAAAAATGTAAAAGTATAGCCCAATTATGTTTTTGGACAGTGTCGTAAAATTTAGAGGGGATGAAAGTTATTTGTACGTGTTGTACGCCAATGGTAAAGTTTATTTAACTGATTGTATTGCTGATAGGTGGATCTTATGATACCAACAAAGTTTACCGATTTTAGAACTCCTTGTATTTCGGAAACCAGTAATATTTTATCAAAGAATGTTTCATTTAATCGTCTTATTTTTAATCAGATAATCTTCAGTTGTTCTGTATACCATTTACCCCGTATTTTTAGATTTCACGCTTGCTTTCTTTAGGAAAGACGTTTAATTCGAACTATCAAAGAGTTTTTTTACACTCTATTAGAGCCCTTCCAGATGAATCACTCAATGGCGACACTTAGTGAAGCGCAAATGCCTGGTATTTAAAATGTGGGTGATGACCAGACTAGCGTGTGGCGAGCGAAGACCCGTGGGTTCCCGCGACAAAGTGGCGACACGGCCACTGGAACAGTCCACACCTCTTTTTTCATAGACTTCTACAAACATTGGAAAATATAATTTTATTTTGATTGTCGGGGTACAGTATTGAGCAATATATTATTCGATGTAATATGGAATTGTCGCTTTTCAATTAATCTATTTTAGTATAAAACTGTCAAAATAATAATGTAATTGAGTGTATCCAAATTCTTCCGTTTTCTACGCAAACGTCGTCTAACGAGAAATATTAGGAGTACTTCATCGTCTGAGCCTATGACACTGGCAAATTTTAATTACTTTCCACCATGAGCCTATTATGGGGTCGTGCTACTCTGCAGCTAGCATGTTCACACAATCGATCAATACATGCGATTTAGCACCGCCATCCGAGTGGTTCATCTGGGCAGGCCCTTGGGGGGTATTAGGAAAAATTAAAACTATAGAGATCCGAAATCAAGATCCAACGCCACCTAACACAGTCGCCGGAACAACTTATTTTTCGTTTTTTTCTATAATTGTAAAGAATATTAAGAATACGTATTTGTATAAACTAAACAGGTTTTAATGGTTCATTAGTATTATTTAGTATTTAAAAATATTAACAAAGAACTTTTTAGGTTAAGACAAAGTTTCTGAGCTCATTTTTAATTTTAAGTGATTTAAATGAAAAAAAACATTCATTAATTTATATTATAAATTAGTAAAAGTCATAAATAATCGAAAATAATTTTTAATACCTATAGATTTTCTTTGGTGAGACGTAGAAAAAATATATTGTACAACTCGAGTGGATTGTCCATATCGCACTCTGCCTATGGCATCGTGCTCAAATTTCGTCTTCGTGCGATATGGCCATCAATATCCACTCTTATTGCACAACTACTATTATTTTAAATGCAATATAAAATCTTAATTTAAAACGTTAAACATGTTTGAAAACATGCCACTATTTTGTGTGAAACTATTACCAGAAATTCATGCAAGGTACTAATGTATACATTTTGTTTTTCCTGACTTTTGGAAAAGTAGTTTTTTCACACTCGATAAGTCAGGCGATAAAGATAATATAAGCAACTACAGTGGGGTTTCAATTTAATCTGAAATATCCAAATCACTGGATAAATTCATCAGTATAAATTGCTTTGTCTTTTAAAGGCAGTTCTTTTCAGAAGCAGCATGGTTTCTCATCTGGTAAATGAACAATTACAAACTTATTATGTTGCCAGAATGAAATATTGAATGCCTTTGAAAATCGGTTATAGTTGTAAACACCGATTTTTCCAAGGCGTTTAACGGTGTTAACTATAATTTACTAATTGCTAAGCTTGCTCAATTTGGAGTCCATCATTGTGTACTGAGATGGTTATACAGGGGTCACACCGTGGATATTATATCTTATTCAATTTATTTATTACTGAATGGCGTGAATTATAGTTTGTTTAAAGATGACTTAAAAATGTTTAAACATATACACAATTTAAAGGATTATGGTACGCTGATTTGTAATTAAATTTACGAGATGTATAACAAGCTATTCATATGAATATAAAATAAATGACAATGATATTAAGAGTATGTGAGATAAGAGATCTTAGGATCTTACTTGACCGAGTTAACTTTTACATAGCAAAGGATATCTCTATTAATAATATCAGACTCTTTTAATAATCTTTTTACAGGTCAATTTTAGAACATGGTTCAATTGTTTGGTCTCTACTATACAAGTGTGATATGGAATTTATTGATAGAGTGCATATGTGGTTTTTCAGACAGTTAGGTATGAACTGGCTAGATACTATCGTCACATATTTTGAAAAACTATATCTCTCTCTCTCTCTCTCTCTTGAAAAACGAGGGCATGATGCGGATTTACTATTCTTACATAAGTTAAATGGTTTAATGAATTGTGCGGAACTGCTTGCTTTATTTTATATCAAGAACTAGGAATTGAACATTGTTATATGAAAATAGACATTTAACCAATTATGGTCGTCATAATCCTCTTACACGCGTATCTCGTGGATTGAATAACCCGTCATGTTCAAATAATATTTTTCAATTCATTTATAATGTTTAAAAGAATACAAAGAACAAAAGTTTGTTTGTGAATTATTTTTTATTATTTCTATATGTAAACTACAAACTTACTACTGTAGTTTGATTTTGGATGAAATGGATAATTCGTTAATATATAATTTTTTTTTAAATAAGTAGTTCCGTTTTTTAACTTGTGGTGGCGTATTGCTTATTTTTAAATCCCTATATTTATCAAATATATATAAAAAATTATTTTACAGACCAACTTTGTGTTAACCTACAAATATAAAATCGTTACGCCACTGATTTATCACATTTACAGCCTTGACTATGACGACACTTTCGTGAATACCACTGATATGCTGCTGTACTTTTGTCTACAGGATCAGACTATACGTTCATTTAAATTTACGAGCCTAATACAATGATATATTAATTATTAGTGATGGGTCGCTAGGAAAAGTTCACGGATAAGTCCGACGGACTAGTCCAAACACACTTTTCAAAAGTGAAAATTTGTCTGAATTTCTTACAAAGGCAAAATAGTTTAAAAAAGAGGAAACGACAAATGATTACTAACTTTTATATATTTTAACGATGTTTTCAAATTTTCGTTTCATATCTTAATAAACACGTCAAAGAATGACCAAAAAATCCAAAGGTTGGTATTTTATAAATAATTTTCCTAAAAAAAACGAAAATACAAATATTGTTTCCAAAGTATTTTTGAAAAAACGTACAGAATGAAGATTTTATTGCCCAAGGAGGTCGACTACTTTTCATTACTTTTCCGGACATGTCCGTCGGACTAGTCTAAAAATTACTTTTAATAAAAAGTCCCATCACTATTAATTATATAGTTTGATCATCTATCTGTAAATGAGACGATGAAAAGCAGGTTTCACTGGGTGAATTTTTTTTTTATCTAATATATGCATCGTTTATGTTGTCTCAGTTGTATGCACCGAGTTGTAAACAAATTATTTACAGAACTGGTTTAGAAATGAGAACCTTTGTTGATTTTTAGTTGATATTTTCTAGTCATTGAGATTTTTACAGATTTAATGTACATTTTATTTCTTTTCCAGTAAACATACGAGTTTAAATAACAAATCTCTATTTGACAAAATTGTCGAGGCTTTAAAAGTTTTTAAAAATAATTACTATCGCTTAATATTCTGTGGCTAATGGACAATGACCGAAGATAACCTTTCGCAAACATACATTGTTAATTAAGGATGTTACTATAAAATTAGAATGTCCAACTTGATTAGACGTAATTTTGGTATTACTGACAGTTAACTTTTAACCAAACTTAAAAAAAAAACAATTTTATCATACCCGCTTTTCGTCCTCTTATTTACAAATATGTTAGTATATTCGACCGACAATGCTCTACTACAAAGAGCTTTCGATAATTGATAAATTTTGATATAGGAATATGAACCCTGAAAAAGCTTAGTTACAGAGATATAGGACGTTAAAAGTTTTAATCGAAAATTTGACATAAATCAAAAATGTCTTTAAATTTTTTTTTTTTTTTTTTTTTTTTTTTTCAAATTAGATCTATCAAACTTTTGTCAAACAAACAAACTATTAAAAATTGTAGCTCCATAAAAGGTTCTTACTTTTTAACTAAAAATTAACAGAATAAAAAAAAATATTTGATCCAGCAACTAACCCTGATAGCACTGCACTGGTTAAGTCTTTCAAAAGTTAGTTTATGTCAAAATATTACTTTCTTAACGAGCATATTGGTTACTAAATTTATTTAAAGGTGTTTTTGATTTATGGCAAATTTTGAATTCAAACTTTAACACACTCTATCTCCGTAACTAAGCCCTTTAAGGGTCCATGTTCCTATATCAAAATTCATCTCTGGGAATCGACTTAACGGGAAAATTTTCCCATGGGTAAAAATTCCACTGCTGTTTTCCAGTGGTATTACAAAACGGTATTCTCCACTAGGTTAGGAATGAATTTCCTTTGGGAATTTTGATTATTTATATATCCAACGTATGTCTGGTATTAAATACGAAAATATTGGAAACTGACCAATAATAATCCAAGATATTTCAATACTTTCAAGTTGTTATATTGGGATCACTGATTCTTGTCATGTCAATAATAAATAATGTCAATTTTTGATTCTTGTCTCATTCTTTGATTACTATACGAGGCAAGAGAAAGGTCCGACACGCCCAACATAGGGCGCGGCCATTTTGAACCCTGTGACACAGTTTACAGCTAAAGAATCAGATCGCTTACTCTGCGTCGGCACTTTGGATCTCGATGTTTCAGTTTATACACTGTGCAACTCGGATAATACAATATATGACAACCGCCTATAATAAAACAGCAGTCTTCTGCGTATCTTGAATTTGTATCCCTGGGCCTCAATTCTTGACTTCACCGGAAAATTTTCCCATGGATAAATATTCCCATGCTTATATTCCAGTGGTATTATAAAATGGTATTATCGACTAGGTTAGGAACCTTTTTCCTATGGGAATTTCGATTATTCGTACGTCTAACGTATGTCCGGTATTAAATACGTAAATATTGGAAACTGACCAATCATAATCAATATTATATTTCAATACTTTCAAGTAGTAATGTTGGTATCATTGATTCTATCGTCAACTTTTGACTCTTGTTTTGCCACTTGCCGTCTTGTCAGAGAAAACAATCAACCCCCTTTTGTTAGAAAATAACGCGAAAATATATCATGTGCTGAACCTAGTACAAGGGGCACAATAAAGCCAAAACGAAGAGTAGCTGCTACAAAGTTAACTAAAACCTTGAATATTAGCCGAAATATTGAACGCATGTTACAAAATAAAAACTTTAATAAAGAAAATTATTATGACAAAAAATTCAAGTTATTAGAGAGAAATGTTTTGGCAAAAGAACGAATAATTTGTGCCTTGGAAAAAATAGCAGAAACAAAGGAATTTTAAGGATTTTTAAGAGTGTTCAATATTTTAGCTTCAAGTTTTTTTAACATCTCATTATGTTATTAACAGTTGCTATTTATTTTGCGTAATAAAACATAATTTATTCTGAAATAGCCTATTCCTAATAATGAAACAAAATATATTCTGGGATTGCTTATTCTAGAAAACTTGCGTTGATTATATTTGAGAAATTGTCTATCATTTAAGGATTCAAAGGGATCCCTGCCTCATTTTTTCACTTAGACCAAAAATCTCTTGGGACATTAATTGCTCTTCTTTCTGCCTCTTCTATATTGTTTAATTGGGAAAGTAAAATAGCTTCATCCATTTTAGGAAAGGTATATTAGTAATAATATACCATGAGTAATAATAATATATAAATATTATTATTTGAAGTAACTAGCAAATGTCACCGGTGACAGATTCCCATTGGAAATTTGTTTTCCCATGCCAAATACCAGGTGTGTTTGCTCCCATACTTTTCGTGAGAAAATATTCCTAGTGGATGTGTCGAGAATACAAAATATAAATTCCCATAGGAAAATTATCTTTTTCCCATGGGAAAAAAAGTCGAAAATTGAGGCCCAGGAGTGGATGTTATTTTGGAACTTTCAACTGGTCCGAGTGAGCTAACTGATTCTTTAGCAATAAACTGTGACTTCAAAAATAATATTCACTGACACTGACAGCAGCAAGCAATATATCAGGTGCGTTTTAATCATCCGCTACTGCTTCCGGAATTGTCGGTTTAGTCGTTTTAACCTATCAGATTAAAACAAGAACACCGACAATTCCGAAGCAGAAGCGGATGATTAAAACGCACCTATTAAAAATATTGCGCCAAGATGTAGGCAACACGTAATAAGGGTTCAAAATGGCGGAGTTTTCTATCTCCTTTTAAAAGGCACTCAGAAAGCTGTGCAGTGCGACCATTCTCCGTATAGTAAAAGAAAATCAAAGTATGTGATTCTTGTTCTTTCCTTGTTTTAAAAAATTACTGTGATGATCGATATGATGGATACAAAGAAAACATATGTCTAAGACTAAACAAAAAAAAATTGGGGATCTATGATTGTTTCCATAGCTACAAGTAGATCAAAGCCGCCTCTTTTAAAAGTCTAAATCATTTTATAATTTTGGTTTCATTTAAAGATTCAAATGGACCTCCTTCCTCATTTTTCCACTTAGTCCAAAAATCTCTTGGGGAATTTTTTGCCCTTCTTTCTGCCTCTTCTATATGGTTTAATTGAAGTAATAAAATAGCTTCAACCATTTTTAAGAAACAAGGTATATTAGAAATATTATTTAAAGTAATAAGAAAATAGCAAATGACAGATTAACTTTGATTCAGTAAAATTCATTACCAATATTCCCATTGGAAATTTGATTTCTGATGCCAAATACCAAGTGTATTTGCTCCGATGAGAAAATATTCCTAGTGGATGTGTCGAGATTACAAAATATAGTTTTTTCTTGTAGTTCTTGGGTTTTAGGTGCTTGTAAATCAAATTAAAATCGTGTGTGTTTGGTTATAGCTTTCGGCACTGATCAGAGCGTTCTTCAGTAGTTTTTATTAGGCATTTTTTTCTTCTTTTAAATAAACATTTTTTTTTTTAAGTTAACTTTATGAGAATTCTTTGGTACAGAAATGTGGTGTCATTTTAAAATAAACTAAAACTTTTTTATTTTTTATCTCCTATAAGCCTAGTCATGCCAGTTATTTTTTATTTATGGTTGATTTTATGATCCGTTTTATTGTATGGGTGCTAAAATGGATCAAAAAAGTCGAGAATTGAGGCCCTATGGTACAGCATTGTCGGTCGAATATACTATGGTCTAATAAAATTTTACTGATCTTTAGGCTCTGAGTAATTTGAAGTGAACGTTCTTGCAACCGGCTGTAACAGTTAACGATTTAGATAAATAGATAAAAATTAAAAGATGTACAGATTAGAACTACTTTACTTATGAGTGCACTGTAGATAAAATAGGACGTGTTTATTAGAAATAGGTAAAATGAGATTGGTAAGTGGTAAAACTTTTGTTTTTATTAATCATCAGCTTATTTTATAGAATATTTTCGATAAATAGATGAAAATAATTCAATGTATAACCAAGCAACAAATAGATATTCCTTAAATCCTATAAAAATATATCATCACGATTTTAGTTGAGCCTTTCATTTCCAAAATTAAGACAAACATTTACATTGGACTCTACCGCTCAGTAATCTATTCGTTTCATGTATGGAATCTTAAATAAGTTCGCTTTATTTTCTGACACAATTTTGAGACATCATGAGTTTTGTACATGTAGAAATTGGAAAAGTATTAGTTTTGTCACTGTTTTATCACAAACCGCAATTGCTTCTCTTTCGTTAGACAAAGCTAATCACAATTGATTTCATGGAAAACTATTGTAACGGTGCTCTTATATATATCACAATCTTTATATTTTACGAAAGTTTGCTGTAGCTAGGAGGCGAGAATTTCTTCCTCAAGAACTTCAAGATGTATAGCGGTAGACAAGATATCAGTGTTATTATTACTACTTTCCAGAAGAAATCTTTCGTCCTTATAAACTCGGAATCTAAAAAAAAAAATTGTATGTAAAAGTTACCAGCCTTCCAGGTTTTGGTGGTAAAGGTTGGGATAAGGGATTACAAATTGTCTATAAAAGTTTCCAAGGTTATCAGACTCTGTGTTAGTCCTAATCAAGGCAGGCACGAAAAATATGTTTTAATCAAACCAAAAATCAAAGTTTGTTAAAATTGAATGAAAATAATAATTAAGAATAAATACTATTTTTGAAATCACTCATGATACATATACTCATGGTAGGCTGACTTTCGATTCAAAATTCGTCCAAATCGCGCATGACGTAATGCGGGACGAACCTTTAAGTTATTTTGACACTTTTCGATTGAATAGTGTAAAATAATTTAATAATTTATTTGGTTTTGTGTTAGTAGTGACTATATTTTCCTATATATAACAGGGAAGAACTAAATTAATGTTTAAAATGCCGGTCTGCGCGGTGGAGATATTTTCGAATGCCACAAAATATGGGTAAATTCTTATCGAAGAAAGGATAAACTTAATTGAAGTTGCCCTATCCACTTTGAGGAAAGTAGTTGTGAGATTCCTCTTAAACATAGACGCAAGAAAAGAAAACTGAATTTCACCAGGTGCATGGGCCTCATGAAGCAAAGAAAATAAATCGGTATTTTAAAATTTTAGCAGATAAAACAGTAGTTTCCTGTCCCAATACAACGGTTCTTTTGAAGTAATGCCATGCATGAGCAGGACACGAACACATATAATAATAAGATAAATGAACAGAAAAATTGGTTTTGAGTATTTTCGAAGTAAACTTGACAAAAAATGTTTAAATTTACCAAATAAAAAGTAATTTTTTTGTGTATTTACTTTTTATAAATAAATAATTTGTTTCTGCACATCTATTTTTATTTCACATAATAAGAATAGAGATTGCAAGAGAACTCCACGCCCAGAAAGTACAAAGTTGAGTCAAACTTGTATTTTTAGTCTATATTTTTTACTTATCTTGTGGCCAGGTTATGGATTTTGTCACAAAATACCTTCAATTTATGAGAAAAATTAATATTTTTATTACTATTATTTACCTTAAACCTTCATATTTGTAAACGAATATATTACAAAATAACCAATAAAGCATAAGTTACTGCATAAAATCTAAAATTGACAAAATATCGAATTTTAAACACTATCTCCCATTTAATGCTTATATTTCCCACGTGACGTCACCGTCAGTCAGCTGCATGCGCAGGAACATACCGTTAGTCTGTGTATCGTGAAATCACTCCATAATTCAAGATATCTAGATTCATTTTTAAACAAACTGCATATATATTAAATATAAATTAAGTATTTGGGAGATATATACTTACCAAAATAGTCATTTAATACAACCAATGATAACGCATATAAGCCCAAAGAAAATAATTCCGCCAATACCATAAGATAATGCCATGTTCTAATATTCAAAGCTACCATTATCAATTCGGTTAAGATAAGTGATGTAAAACTGATAGCCACAATATGAATGAATTCGTCTTCAAAAAGAAGCAAAGCACCATACATTATTACACCTCCTAAAATAAATAAATTATTATTATTATTATTATTATTATTATTATGGAAACGATAGGTACAGAAATTAGTGAGCGCCATCTAACGGCCATTTTCCCTTTTTCGCTTATAGTTAAGTAGTTTACCCTTTCAAACTAGCTTTTAAAAACACACTGACTCAGTAACGTTCTAGTAGGCTGAACATGATTTTACTTGATTCTTTATATTTATTCTGAAAGAAATCTATTTTAGATGAACAATTTTTGTATCTTCAAATGTTTAATCCATTTTTAAGTTAAAAATATTTACATTAAAAAAATGACGAAATATGTCGAAAATTATTTTTTTAATAAATAATGATCCAATCAGAATAAATCAAAAATTGAAATAACCAGTCATATATTTTTGTTCCTGTGGCACAAATTCTCCTCGTACAGCTAAAATATGCTCTTTAAATTTTCAATTAGTTGATGAAGTGGCAATTTCAGATACGGCTGCTAAAGTTGAGAATCTTCTTTAAAAAATTTGTTGTGCTACAGTTAAAACTCATATAATTTCGCTTGTTGGCCAAATTTAGACAAAACAGTGGAAATTTTACAGAACAATGACCCTTATATGGTATAGCAAAAAAGTCTGACACAAAGGTATTTTATTTGAAACAAATGAATGTGTTATTATGAAATAGAGTAGTGAAAAAGTCTAGCAACAAGGTATTTTAGGGTGATCAATGGGACTATATTACATTAGTATTGTGGTACTTTTTAGTATTCTTGAAAAGAAGAAAAAATAACTTTTCTCTGATATATCACTCGACCTACGTTGCCATTTAAAAAAATCAAGATGGCGGCGGTACGCTAAACGCCCACATAAATTTGACATGCCCTCTAAAAAAATGCAGAATACTATAAATTAGTAAAGTTGTAATTTTGGATCCACTGATAATTACAGTGATAGCAGACATTTTAAGTGCGTTTTATTAATTTTGTTTACCTAAATTATGTAGTTTTTGAACTTTGTTAGGCTATGGACCACTCCCATTAGTCGACAATTTCGCATTACATATGCACGAAAAAGTGCAGGAATATTTAATCTCGTAATTTTCCAAACAAACTTAATTATTCCCTTTCTTATCATCGCCTTACAATTGTTGGGTTGGGTTGGCTACGCCGTTTACCCCATGTCATCGTTAATTTAAAATCTGTCATCGAGTCTATATAGTAGGGGACTAAGTGATAGTTTTTTTTTTAGGTACACATTTGCACAAGGCCGAATTATAAATGCATCGTTAATTCTTATCATATAGGAGATGGAAGTACTTTACTGCAGGGGCACCAGCTATTGAGCGCTCGATGACGACGTCTTCAAAAAGCCAATATAGAAATTAAAAAGTGAAAAGTTTGCTGCCGTCTTGGTAGAGGTGGAAAACTTTCAAGCTTAAAAAATAAAATTATTATATGATTTATTTACACAAGGCTTATTTTTTTTCTGTGATAGAATAATATATTAATAAAAATCGTTTGCTGCAATAGATCTGGCGGTGAAATGCCCTATCAGCAAGCAAGATGGTACTATGAATCGAATTTCAAGAAGGTGGCGGAAAACTTGTTTCTATTAACTTTTGATGTAAATGATAAAAAAGTTTCCATAACAGCATTTTCTACACATGTTTTTTTAAGACGTCTTCATCGAGGGCTCCTGATTCTCTTTTCATTAAGGTAATAATGTACGATTTATTGTAATTTTGCCTTTTGCAAATAACACATAAAAGTGCCACGGGTTCCCCTACCAATACTATCAAACGCAAAAACAAAATGACATTTGCGGATGTGTAATTGACACTCAGGGCAGGAAACATAACGACAACGAATTTTGATGATTTTAAACGAAAATAGAATTTGCACATGAATAATAGAGATTCTCAATGTGAAATACATTCATTCGTTTCAAAGAAAATATCTTGTTGCCAAAGTAAAAACTTTTCGTTCTCTAAATTCATGGCCATTAGATCTTCATTTGAATTTGACAAAAGAATGACAGCCAAAACCTTTTGTTTTTCCAAATCTTCTAAAATAATTTTCTTTGTAAATCTAAAGTTCCATACATAAGTTTTTAGTTTTTAAATACTACTTATAACAAATTTAAGTCATTTTTTTGGTTTTGGTTTTGATTTTCTTTATTTTTTTTGTAAAGCTTTCGGCCTCATGTAGGTCCTTCATCAGTACTTTTAATTTTAGTTAATTATTATATTTTTGGGTCATTGTTCAGTATATGTTTCCTTCAATTGCTTTTTTTAACTTATTATTAATTCATATTTAAATAATTGTTTTACTTTACAGATACTTAGATAATCTTAAAATAACTCCTTGTTTGTGAAGGTCATGTATTAAAAATCCAGGTTTTTTTATATTAGTACATCTGGCGACAGGTATACTGTGACAGAATTTTGTTTTTTGTTCGCCCCATAAAGTTCAAAAATAAAGTGTAAGAACCATACATCACCAGAATATTCCTACAATTTATGGTAAAATAAAAATCTTTCAGCCACTAGAACGTTTATATTGAAAATAAAGGTAAACCTCTCTTTTATTGGTTGAGATTGCGGAGAGATAAAATTTTGTTTTGGCACTGCCTTGTAACTACAGTTGCTATCTAGCAACATTTTAACAACTCACTATTAAACTATTTTCATAGCCACTGAATGTCAACTTTTAAAAATTTTGCTACTCCAGTAACTACATTGAGATCACATTTGTAATGAAAATGTGTAATCTGTCTGTGTGGTGTAAATGAAGCTTGTAATAATTAAATTTTCTTGATAATTTGATACTATAATACATCAACCAATGGCAATCCTCTTTTATTCCAACACATGGCAATCAAAACAAACTGTATTTGAAACACTGAATGGCGCAGTGTTTTCACTTAATCCCGCGAAATGTTAATGTGATATTTGTCAAAAATGAACAAAAATCGTTTTAGTTGTTCAAATATACATTGTAAATAAATAACAGACATCACTTTCAACTTCAGCTTACGAAAACAAAGCAAATGTTTATAAAAGTTCTGTTTATATTGTTAAATAATCTTTCCAAATAACACGCAGGTCAGAATTTTTTGAAAATATTTTAATGTTTCCTAACAAATTATGCGTCTAAATTTGGTATTTTAAGGAGGATTTTGTTTCGTGAAATTTAGACGCATAATTTCCAAAGAAACAACAAATTGTTCTCTAAAAATTCTCACCTCTTGTGATATTAACCTTGAAAACACTGTTTTATTTATATTATATATGGGTAAATGTTAGATTAGATTTTTATCAAATAAAAAAAAAATGGAAAACGACAACGGAGTCAACAAAATTCTGTTTTACATTATGAAATTATTTTTCCCGTTATCACAATAAAAATAGGAAAAAATAAATATATTATCTATGATCATTAATATTATCTTGAAAAGTGTTCCTATTTGAATAATAGGCCTGTCCCAGAAAAAATAGAAATAAAAAAACGTTAATTTCAAAAATTTCTTAATGTTTGGTTATTTTAAAGTTACTCTGGAATTCGCTTTTCAAAGCAGTAGTCACTACAGTTTTTACATAGAGAATTTTGTTTTATCAAAATGGTAACATAACTGCCTCGATCTAAGCAACTTGCTCAGTAGCAACGTAAGTTATATTTATAATTCGATTGTCCAAACATAACCACCACTGATTAGAGCCCTGTTAGCCGAACCCAACATATACAGAAAATAAGTCAGTATTTTGTAGGCATGTTTGGTCAAACAGTGCTTCTATAAATATTACTAACACGAGCAGCTCGTAAATGCTAAGAAATAGGAAACAATAAATAACTAAATATTAAAAATTACAAAAAAAAATGAATTATTACCTTGGTATATACTTATTAAAACCCACATAAAGAAGGTTTTAAATGATAGGCTTCTTCCTTTAGCTAATTCTTTATATAATTCGGGGTAAGTAAGCGCTATTTCTGGACTAACATCTTGATCTAGTACTAGACTGAATACCTAGAAAGTAAGAAAGTAGTTTCAATTCTTGAATACACATTGTTAACACCTGTTTTGTCAAAATAAAATATTGAGTTCCCAACAAACCTACATTCGTGATTACGTCATAAAAAAATCATTAAAAAATGAGCTAAAATCCAATTATTTGTTTATTACTTGTTCAACAAAGTCGGAACTCTGTATGTACACTTCAAAACACAAAACGTGTCAGAAACTCAATAACATAGAACGAATCTGACAAGTTGACAATCATGATAACATCACCAAAAGTACTGCCCTAATCAAGTCATAACTTTAAAAACACAAAATATGCTTAAAATACAGTAACTAATGCTGTCCTGAATTTCACGCTTAATAGAAAATAACATCATATGTATAAGATTTATAATATTAGAGACTAATAAAGTATGTGTAAACAACCGCTAGAATAACTACATAAATGTTTTCATAAAACTTGAAAAAAAAAAAAAGAAAAAAGTGTTTACAAACTTACTGGGAACATTGTATATATTGTGGCATATCCAACCATAAGGAAGCCCTGATAGAGCGCTACCGAACTCAAATAAAACACGCTGCTAAATACCGCTTGCATTGTAGAAATGATCAGTCCTCTGTGTATCACAAATTGTGCAAGAGACGCAGACCTCTTGTAAGATTTCCTGCCATGTACTAGTAAAAGCCTGGCCAAATTGGAGAATTGCGGTATACTGAAATCGCCTGCAAGACTTGCCTGCTTCCCTTCTCTACCCTCGATACCTATGCCAGCATCAGCTTGTTGAATCATGCTTACATCATTTCCCCCGTCACCCACAGCTGCAGTACGTTTACCAGTGTGTTTTTGGATCAACTGAACCTGAAAATTAACATATTTACTAAACTTAAAAAAAGAAATCGTATAGGTAGTGTTACTGACAAAATCATACTCTAAATATTTAAATCATAATATGACGGATTTGCTTCAATTAATCGAATTCGAACATATTGTAATGATTGTTTAATTTAACCCGTTGACGGACAACGACGTCTATAGACGTTATTGACAATGTGCGCTCCGTGACACCTTAATTTAAGGACGTCTGTGGACGTCTTTTATAATACCTCCATAGCTCGGCAACAACTTCTACAGACGTCGGATTTGAATCGTAAATCGGTAAAGTGTCATATCAAGTGATAGTGACTGATTTAGGTGCCCCATTTTCGCATTCAAGCCTCGAAGAGGGTTGAAAATGACATCGATGTTGAGTAGAATAAAAGAAAATTTACGAGTGGGGCTCTTGGGGATAACACATGGACAATTCTATTTTCCTTATCAGAAAAATTTTCCGACCTTAAAATACACTTATACATTCAGGTCATTCAAAAAAATATATTTTTCGGAATAGTGACGATGGGCTTGTGTGGAAAAATATGGTAAAATCTCGATTTTTCCTTAGAAGATTACGCCCTTCTTTCAACATTAAAACGTTTGGTTTTCCGAAGCCTAGTTCTATTAATTAATCATACAGTGTAAACGGCTTGCGTGAAAATATGGGCAACAAATAACCTTTCATTTTTGTTGGGGAAAATCAAATTTTCCATGTGTTATCCCCAGGAACCACTCGTAAATTAACTTTCATTCTACTTCAAATCGATGTACTTTTCAACCCTCTTCGAGGCTTGTATGCGAAAATGGGGCACTTAAACCTGTCACTATCTGACGGTCTACCATTAATGTAACCTATTATCAATATGAAGGAAATTCGTTAATAAATTGCTGAACCACTAAGGATGAAAACAAATCAGAGAAAACTTGAAGCAGGATTCGAACCTGCAGCACTGTTCCATCATTAGACACAGTGTTTATTTATTGCTTGGCATTCTTCACAGTTTACCAAACCTCCTTAACCCCATTTTCAATCAATTTTTTTCAGAATCAATTAGCTTCATCCCTTTATAAAGCTTGTTTTTTATGAATATTTGATATCGTTTATTGTTTCTGCGTTAGGATTTTTTCCAACAGTTCAACCTCCTTCCCTTATCTCCCCATTTTCATTTATTTATGCATTCCCTTACCGAGCTTGATTATTTTAAATATTTTAATCCCTTCTTAACTTAACTCCCCAATTTATTCAGATTTTTTCAGAATCAATAAATAGGCTTCATCTTTTTATAGAGCTTAATTTTTACTAAAAAATAATTGTTGATATCGCTTTTCACATTTTCTTTTTTGATTTGATTTTTTTTTTTATTTCTTTTTGATTTGATTTTTTTTTTTTTTATTTCTTTTTAATCAGATTTTTTTCATAATCAATAAGCTTTGCCCTCTGAAGCTTGATTTTTGCTAAAAATTTCAAATTTCGTTGTCGACTTATCGTGCGGACAAAAAACGTGACATCGAACGGACGGAAGTAAACCTATAATACTCTAGTCACAGACTACTGTGTGAAGAGTATAATAATAAGTGATCTACAAAAAAAGTTTCTAAAGTAGGCCTTTAGCCTTTAGGCCCCTAAAAAAATTTTTAACTGTCGTTTGGATTTATTTCTGAGCGTACGTAGTTATCACGGACATGACTCGTATATCTTTGTCAGTCATGACCTACTTTAAAAACTTTTTTGCAAATTTAATAAAACAAATAAATTTAAATTTGTAAAAGTCAATTGTTTGTATCTTAAATTACTTTCTAATAATTATTATTGTAAAATGTATGGTATCTAAAATATGAAATAGCAAGGAAGATAGCCATATATGATTAATTAAAATTAAAACTCTTTTTACTATCAGTTTTTTTATATTAAAATATGTTTAACCACTTACCACTTGTGCTTTTTGAGTAGGTGAGCAACGGCAACAGACAACAGCAGGCGCAGACGTAGCTAATTCCATAAATTCAGGTTGATAATAAGAAAGGCAGACTTCCAAACTTTCACCACTAATAACTAAAGCACAATCTTGTTTTCTCCTGTAAGCGTTCAATTCTAAATGGGCGTCCGTTCGAGTAACAACTTTTTTCAGTACATGAAGACCTATAAAAAAAAGAAACTGCTCGAATGGTGTCTGGATGTGATCAATAATAGTATACAATATTTAGGGAAGAAAGCACAAAAATATTGAGTGTATATGCCAGGTTGTGTGATTCTGTAATATCAAGTTTTTTTTTATTATTATTTTTATTATTATGTTACCTTTTTCGTCCCTTGTTATACATTCATAAAAAAAAGAGAAAATTTGAACAACTGCTGTTATAATAATATTCCCGCTACAATTTATCCTCTTGCGAGTGAACCCACCAAAGCAGAAAGGACTGGTTATTTGTTATGGTAATCCGGGCATGGTATTATAGACGATTGAATAAAAACTTTTTACACTACTTTAAGATTCATTTAATAAAAATAATAAAAACGTATTTCTTACCTTGCGATCTAGAAACTAAACTAGAACTCTTTGCGATACAAGTCGCAGTTTCTAGTTTATCTCCAGTAAGCATCCATATTTTAATTCCAGCATTCCTCAGTAATTCTAAAGTAGCTCTCACATTATCTTGTAATTTATCTTCTACCCCAGTTATGCATAATAATTCCATTTCTCTCTCTAATGATTCGACAACCTGTGCTACTCTTGCAACACGATCAGTGGTTGACAAACGAGCTGCATTATAACGACCCTAAAACACGTTTATCTCGGATTATCAATATTTGCAAGCTTATCGACTGGTATTTTAATTAATTAAATGTATGTTTTTCCAATGCTATACCTCAAAATCAAGGTACTGTTCCTCAGTAAGGTTCTTCTTTGCAACTACCAATGTTCTTAAACCATCTCTTGCCATATTACCAACTTCTTCGTCTAACCAATCAGTGTACTGAACAATAGCTGACATTACAATATCTGCTCCTTTTAAGTAAAAAATTATTTCGCCAGTATACAAATCCTGAAATGTCAAAATGTTTTAAAAAACATTCAGTTTGATTGATCCTGCTTAGTCAAATTTCTTTGGTGTAATAATTATGTAAGTCACAATTGATTAGTAGTGATCAGGTGAAATTTCTATTTGCAGAATGATTAATTTTTTTATTTATTTTCTTTGGTTTGGATTACACAATTATAACATTCAAAATATTTTACCTTAACAATAATTCCCATCCTTTTTGTTTCACTGGTGAATGGGAAAATTTGTAGAATTGCATAATTTATAAGCCTGCCATCAGGAGTCCTAAGTTGCATGGAGTTAAGATCCCTATGACTCAAGGTTAAACCGACTTGATGTGTCCATTGTACCAAAGCAACTTCATCAGGACTGGAAGCTTGATAAGTCACATTTTTATCAGGCATTTGAAGCTGCTGATCCGCTTCCGTGTCAGAACCAAAAGAACTAGAATCTGTTAAACCAAACAAAATAGTTTTGATATTAATTTAAAATATGAAAAAAATATTAATGTTTTAATATTAAGAAATATATAACAAAAAAGTATGGCCAGAAACCCGCCTAAAGAATATTGACTAGGATTACTATTTGAGTTGATGACCTTTTGGGAATCAGTGTACACTGAAATACAATCACAATTTGTAATAATAAAACTCATCGGAATGTGTAATCATATTTACTTAGAACACAATATAAAGGTATTTGGTTTAGAAAAACTTCATTTATCAGTTTAATAATTAGTCATTTAAATGGAAGGTGAATATTTTTAAAACATTTGTGTCTTCTCGTAATTTGATAGTTTCGGTGTTTAGTTATTGTATTTTTTTTTTTCAATATAATTTGCATAAAACTCCGTCACCATGCTAATATTAACTCATGTAAGATTAGTTGAATCTGCTTTTAAAAATATACATTTATTTTCAATGCATAAGAATCAAAACGCCAAAAAATACAAAATAACAAACTTTTAGGTTATAGTTTTAGTTTCCAACTGACATTCAACTGTTAAATAAGAAGGATTTGTTCCTTGGCTTATCAGGGAACATAATGATAATACAAATCTTTTATATACGCAGAATACCGCCTAAATGCAATCAAGGGATTTAGTGTTGTAAACAATTTTACTGCCAGTAAACATACTAATCGTATCTAATTACCTACCCATTAAATAATAATAATAATAATATTAATTTTTATTCATCTTTTAAGACAAAAAAAAATCTATAGAACAATAATATAAGACAAAAAAGAGACAAAAGAAAATATTTATTATGTTTATTTCAACAGTTCGATCCAGATAGAAACTCAAACGTCTTGGTAAATCCTCCTTAAATCCCTGGGTAGCTATTCTTGAATTCGAGGGAATAGAAATCCGGTTTTGCCTCTTTATCTGCAACGCGCAAAATTTGTATTTTTCTCTCATTCTTCCCTTAAAATTTCTACTCCCTGAGATTCAAGAATAGATACCCTGATATAAATAGTCAAGATTAAATGCTTGGGATCACTAATTCAGTAATTTTATAATATTCAACAAAATGATGTACTGATGATGGATCACGTGACCAAAAAATGGCAGACTGCTGCAATCATGATTTTTAACTGATGAAAATTATTTGAGAACGACTGACATTTGTGATTTTATAATCTTAACTGTCAAATTGTCTTTATTTAATGAAAACAAACAATTCGAAGACTTTTTGATAAGTATAAAAACCAAAGACAAGTACGGGCAATACAATAATTAAAAAAATATGTACCTGTCTTCATTTGCATGCTGTATATCTAACGCTAACAATCTTATTTTAAAAGTTACTCCACTTATAGGTTGGTTTAAAAAAACCCAGTGAGTTTCTTCAATTATATTATTAGGAATTTTAAGCAAACTTTTCCTATTTTCTTATCTGTTTAATATTAATTAATCATTTAAGGTTATGTCACGTGATCCATCAGTGCAACAACATAATCGAGTTGATAGGTTTGGTGACAAAAAATTTTGATGGATAAAAGAACAGTTTTGATGAAATCTAGATGGCATCGAGGAATATTAGAAAACGCCTTGAGCCGCTTCAAATTTATAAACGCTCAATCTATTTTCAATATGGATCCAGCTTTTGTGCCAAACTTCACAGACCTTTTTAAACGTCATAAATGTCAAAATCAGCTTATGAAATTTTTAGTTACGTCAATATTGTATTTTGTATTAGGTATATTGTTAACTTAAAAAAAATAAATCAAATAAAAAGGACATTGCAGTCATTTCTGCCATGTAGATACAAACGATAAAATGAAGTTAGATAAGTATCACTTGTCCTAATCCTCCTCGATTCCACGAAATAAACATTAGATTAGATTTAGAATTCAAAATTTTAATTCTAAATGGTAGTGTCCCAAAAATATTCCTGCACATTATAATAACCCTTTTCTAATAATAACTGCTTCGCAGATCCTTTAAATTTGTTTAGACTCATGTTGTTAAAATGATTGGTGGTTGTACAGTTTTAGGCTCATATATTTAGAAGTTTGCAACTTCGATGTTGCATATTTTGGAATTTGTAAGAGATTTGAATTTCTATTTTGGTTATTATTAAAAAAAAGAAAGTTTACCAAATGCATTTAAAATAATCAATAAATTTCTAAACTATTCTAAAATATTTACAATCTAACTTTAACTCAAACGCCCCCAATTTCAATTAAATTAAGATTACAAAACAAATTTATATTTCAAATAAGTTGTTTACATAATATAGTTATTTATACATGAAATATTTATAAGAAGTTTACAAAGGAAAGGATTGAAATCTGAAACTTAAAGCTTCTTTTTTAATTTAATATGGCACTTAGCATTTAAATAATATTTATTTTTAACAGACTTCAAAAAAGGAGGACGTTATCAATTCGTCGCAATATTTTTTTTTTATGTATGTTCAGCGATAATTCTTTAACACGGTCTCCGATTTCTATGATTCTTTTTTGTTAGAAAGGGGGTACTTTAGAAGTGGTCCCATATAAATTTGGTCAAAATCTAATAATTGGTTCCATGAGAAAATCCTCAAGTTCTTCATTTTTTATGTATGTTTAGCGATAATGCTTTACCACCTTGTACGATTAATATGATTCTTTTTTTGTTAGTAAGGGGGTACCTCAGGGGTGGTTCCATATAAATTTTGTTAAAATGTGGTGATGGCATCTGCACGTTTTTGAAGTCGGTTTTTTTTAATTTTTAATTTCTAATACTTGTTGTAGGTATATATTTTGATTTGCATTTTAATTTATAAAAACTGGCCACCTATCCAAGTAAAAAAAATATTAGTATTTTTTTTGTAGTCAGTTAATTATTTATTTTAAATTCATATCGACAACTACAAAATTTCAAAATATATTATCAGTAAATTTGAATCGACGGTAGCTATATTAATTAACTGTCACACCACTTCATGCATTGTCCAGAATAATTGATAAAATCATATAAATATATAAATGCGAAAGTTTGGATGGATGTATGTTGCTCAATCACGCAAGAATTGCCTATCGGATCTGGATGAAATTTGGCACAAATATAGATTATTGTCTGGAATAGCACATAGGCTTCTTTTTATCCCGAAAAAATGTACGGTTCCCATGGGATCGATTTGTTTTTGTTTTTCACAGAGCAAGAGGTAGGACATAATTTTTTGCACAGTGGTAGTGAAACATGAAAATTTGAAATACTGCTACTGAGCATAAATAAATGATGACGTGTTTCAGAGTTTTTGGTTTTTCACATTTTAAGGGGGGGAAACGGGTGTTAAAAGTTAGCATGGAAACATTGATTTTTTTTTATAGGTAGGAACTTGAAAATTGGAATTATAGCTACTCATCACAAATAAATAATGGTGTTTCAGTTTTATGGATTTTCATATTTTAATAGGGGAAAGAAGAAAATGGGGAAATGAGAGAAAGAAGGAAAATGGGGGAAATTGGGGAAATGTGTGGAGAGTGAAAGTTTATATGGTAGGAACTTAAAAATTGGAGTACTTTTCATAAATAAATAAACATGTTTTAAAGTATTTGGATTTTACATATTAAGAGAGGAAACGGAAGGTAAAAGTTTGAATAAGGTTTTTTAAATGTAGAAATTTGAAAATTGGAATTGTAGCTACTCATCATAAGTAAATAATGACGTATTTGGATTTTTGGATTTTCACATTTTAAGGAGGAAGGAAAAGGGGGAAAAAAACAAAAAATAAATAAAAATAAATAAAAATAAATTAAAATAAATAAATAAAAATAAATAAAAATAAATAAAAATAAATAAAAATAAATAAAACTAAATAAAAATAAATAAAAATAAATAAAAATAAATAAAAATAAATAAAAATAAATAAAAATAAATAAAAATAAAAATAAATAAAACTAAATAAAAATAAATAAAAATAAATAAAAATAAATAAAAATAAATAAAAATAAATAAAAATAAATAAAAACAAATAAAAATAAATAAATTTTTTTAAAAATTAATAAAATTTATTAAAAATTAATAAAAGTTAAAAAAAAATTAATAAAAATTAATAAAAACTAATAAAAACTAATAAAAATTAATAAAAATTAATAAAAATTAATAAAAATTAATAAAAATTAATAAAAATTAATAAAAATTAATAAAAATTAATAAAAATTAATAAAAATTAATAAAAATTAATAAAAATTAATAAAAATTAATAAAAATTAATAAAAATTAATAAAAATTAATAAAAATTAATAAAAATTAATAAAAATTAATAAAAATTAATAAAAATTAATAAAAATTAATAAAAATTAATAAAAATTAATAAAAATTAATAAAAATTAATAAAAATTAATAAAAATTAATAAAAATTAATAAAAATTAATAAAAATTAATAAAAATTAATAAAAATTAATAAAAATTAATAAAAATTAATAAAAATTAATAAAAATTAATAAAAATTAATAAAAATTAATAAAAATTAATAAAAATTAATAAAAATTATTAAAAATTAATAAAAATTAATAAAAATTAAAAATAATAAAAAATAATAATCATTCATTTTTTTAAATTATAAACACAACACCACGCGTGCAAAGCCGCGGGCAAAAGCTAGTATACCATATTTGTTTTCTATTTCACTCTTTCTGCATTACAGAGATGTGATTATAAGGAAAATAAAAGAACATATTCGACAACATTTAAATTTCCTGGATTTTAAACTGAAATAAAATTATTTATTCGACCTCCAATGGCAAATATTTGTTAAAGTACTTTGTAAATGAAAAATTTTCATATGGACTATTAAAAATATGACTAGTATATAGCTCATTACAGTCATTACCAACATGTACTAGCTCTGTTAATTATTTCTCTATTTACTTTTTTCCAGGATATAGATTTCATTTCAATCGTACAAACTAATACGGCACCTTTTAAAAAATTAAGTGATAAGGTAGTCGTCTCCACTTTGTCTACCACAAATGAGTCAAATGATTAGGATTGCTTCACCTTGGCGTGTAATCATGGACGGAGCATTAACATTTCTTTCAAAAAAATCTAAAAATCGTTTTAGATGATATATCCCTCACTTGTTTTTTTTCCTAAACATTTTTTTAATTAGGAATTTAAAAAAGAAAGATTTAAAAACAAGCAATGAAACACCCAAAACAACCGTAAATCTAACCTAACCTAAACACAATTCACCAAAACAACAAAACAGTTTTAAGGGAATGGACATGAATGATCATCATTTGCATTCGCCGTGTGTGAATTCCAATTCAAGCAATTGCAGACACTTTATTTCTTGAAAGATTTCCCGCTCTTAAATGTGTTTCTGATGATTTTTCACAACCGATAGTATTATTTTTTTAAATTTATGACTGAAACTAGTCTGTGACAGTATTTTCTCTCCTTTTCATAACTGCGGCTTAGTAGCATATTACAGATCAAAGGCACTATATCAATAGTACAAAATATACTTAGGATATGTAGATAGTTTCCTCTTAATTAGAAATAGGAATACATTAAACAATACAAACACATAAACTATATGAAAATATACATACCTGCGTCTTTCTTTTCATTTGCTTCACACATAGGAGTGACATTGTGACATAGAGCTAAGGCCTGCACTGCATCTTTAACCCTAGAATTTTCTGACCTTCTAAATTTATCTGATCCAGGTTTTACATTCTCAGAATTGTTATATGAAGATCTCAGAACTGTGCTCAACTAAAATATAAATCAACAATCAACCATTTGGTTATTAATAGAACAAGTAACATTCTACGTTTTAAATATTTTTCAGGAACATTAAAAAATAACATTAATTAAAGTTACTGTTAAAGAAAATATGAACTGGAACCTTTGCCAATAATTTTAGTTATGATAGTAGGTAATATATTCAAGATACAACTGCCATATGAAAATGTTTGAGCACTGGCCTACACAACCATCTAATGCAATTAAATTAATTTTTAAAGTGAAACAAGGATAATATAAAAATATTGCTTTAAAATTAACAAGAATACAACACAAATCAAATTTAACCTTGAGATATAAAGGTTTAAGGACAAGTAAGGGCCGTCCTTATATTTTGTTGGATTCACATAAAAAAAATATTATTTTTTGTTTTTGTTTTATATATTTTTGTTTTTATCCGTACAATTACTTTTTTTAAGTTAATATTTAGTGTACCTTTTTATTTTCCAATGATATTCAACAATATGTCCTAATTCTCTAATGATTTTAAAATTAGTACATTAAATATTATGAAATAAAAAATTATTTTGTTTGTAGGGCTATGCATGAAAATGTTAAATATGTGATACGTTTTAAAACTGTACAGGTAACATAAATTACAAAACAAAAGGGTTTTTGAGAATATTTTATTTATAACACCGAAAATTAAACAAAAATATAAAAAAATTTAAACGAGTTATTTATGTTGGTATTAAATATATTCTTTGGGAGCCTATATATCAAACACTAATCAGAAAACCGTTAAAACATATAAAAATCAGTCTTGCCGTTGTAAGAAATTCAGCCAATTTATTTAATTTCAAGCATGTGCACAACACTTAATTAAACATTTCCAAAGAACAAATAAAATGTATAGTAACTTATTATTCATTATTTTTTTTTTTTTAAGGTGAAGGGTGAGAAAAAGTCCTTTATATCTCACAAGGAAAGCCAATGTTTAATTGTTTAACAAAACATTGAGTGCGACCGGTTTCGAAGTGTCATCACTTCATCTTCAGGCTCGCCATACTCTCCATCCACTAGGGAATACTACAAAAACATCAATTTTGGGTTGAAATAAATTGTAAAATGAACCGATTTACACGTAATAAAAAGTTAAAAATATTTGAAAAAACAAATATTAGTCAATTATAGTAAAAATTTTAAAATATTCAAGACTATACTCATTACTCTTAAAGTAACGCATTATTTTTTCATAAAAGTAATGTTTATCTCTCGTGTTACTTTGCAGGAAAGGTAACGATAAAGTAACCAAAACGTTATTTTTTTTAGTAACGATCACAGATTTAATTGTAGCACATTGATTCAGTAGATACAGTCTTTGTTAAGAATTTGAAAGAGCTCTGGAACACTTTTCCCAGAATACAAATCCAGGATCAAATTAGCATTATAAATAGAAGTTTCATGTCTATAAACTCTTTAGCAATAAACCTAACCGCAAAATTTTGTTAGGCCAATGTTTTGTTATAAAAACGTTAAAAAAAAGTATACATATAAAAAAAGAACAAAGTCAAGTAAAAACTAGCACTAACCTCATCAAAACTGTCAGTTGCATAGCTGACAGTTCCTAAGTGTAATCTTTTTAAAACCATAGAATTTTGTGTAAGAGTACCAGTTTTATCACTTAACAAATATGAGATTCTACCCAGTTCTTCAGGTATAGTGGTACATCTAACAGCAGTTCCTTTCATTGCTGGATCTTTTCCAATGGCCCAGGAGTAAAAAGATTTTCCCATATCCAAGTTTACACGCAAACTGAAAAAAACGTATTTATAATCCAAATCACCACAGTTCAACTATTAAAATGACTAAAATATAAAAAAAATGTAAATAACATAAAATATATTAAAAATAAATTGGGAATGATCCTTTTAAATAAAATTGGACATAAATATTAGCCTCAAATTTTCTCATATCATTTTCTGAAACTTCCATGAATTATTATATGACAGATTTATCTTTTATTTAAATGTAAATTAAATCTACCACAAATATTATTTTACCTGATAGGTATAATGTAAGAAAACAGCAGGATGAATCTGAACATGTATCTATACCAAGGTCCGCTAAAACCTTTTAAGGCCATCATGATAAGAGCAAGACCAATAACAGCCACAAATAATAATTTAGTGATAGTGTTCACTTCAATATCCAACAGGCCTACTTTAGATCTAGGGGCTGAATTATTCATAACTGATCTTGTTTCTGGACCTAAAAAAATATGTACTCATTACTTATAACTACTAAGAGCCACTTTACAGTTCCTCTTCCTGCAAGTAAAATTGCAGCAAGTTTCCTCGCTGCAAAACAAATTGCTGTTCGTATTATTGCACTTCGCAATTCATTGTTTAAAGTTCGCCATCTCAACTTACTAAACAAGTACACCAACTTCCAACTTAGTTATAGTCAATGACTATATACCATACTCTGTTTTTAAACTAGAAGGAGCGAATTGAAAAGACGCATTTACACAGGGAAAAGTAACTAGATTTGTTACTAAGAGCGAGTTTCGAAATATAGTCGTGTTCAAAATTTATGAAATAATTATCTTTATCGGCCTTAGTCGGCGAGCGGCCAATGAGCGGTTAAGAAACGAATAAATGTCATAGAAGTAATTTTTTAATTGGTCCCAGACAACGGTCGCAAATTTCACATTATTGTGATCTGAAATGTGTGTCTAAAACGAAATGTCACTGTCAAATTAAAGTCAATATGGTTGTTGATTGATGTCAGAAATACTTTTTTCTTGCTTTTGAAATCGACTTTTTAAGAGTAACTATGATCTTTTTAAAATGGATATTAAATATTTAGGAAAATTGTTAATGGAATATCCAGATGTAGCCAGGTTAGTATAAAATATAAAGATCTGTTTACATTTTTAAGGATAATTTGTTATAGGTAAGAAAAGTAAAAGTTAATCAGTGAATGACAAGTGGATCACACAGCAACTGGTATCTCTTCTATGAGTAATGTGGATATTATGGCTTATTTAGTGTAAACCCATGGTTAATGCGCTAGAGGGCAAATAAAGGCATTCAAAAGTTTACAGGCCTATGAGTCAGAATTTGTTTTGAAAACTGGAACCAACATTTTCATAACACTACATGTCAACATATATTTTTTAAAGTGAACTATTCATACATACCTATGTATTAATTTTAAGTATTTTTAAAATATTTTTTGTGAAAGTAATGTTAACTCATTGTGCCAAATTAAGATTATCCCTAAGGTAGTAGATGGTGTTTTAAATGTTATAACAATTTTGTAAATAGTTTTATTCTATTCTAATAAATAAAATTTGCTTAAATATTTAGTTACATTTTAATTATTTTGGTTAGAAATTCATCAATTTTTAGTTTTAAAAAATCAGTAATAAAATTATTTTTTTCTAAAATACTTCGGAATTCATCTCTTCATGGTAATCTCCAATCTTTTTACCTTCAAAAACCAATAATACATTTTCTACAAAACCTTCAGAATCAGCATGTAAAATAATAAGGTGTCTTCCCTTTCTTGTAAGGCTTTTCAGGAATTGCTACCTTCAATAGTACTCAGTGTAGAAGGATCCATAATTGTAGATTTTTAATACAATTGCTTACTAAAGAACTATTATTTACGAAATAAAGTAAAAACCTAAGTAAAGGATGAGATATCAAATTATAAAATGTCAGAACTGTCAACAATATCAATTATTAGCTGATGTTCATGCTAAAAAGTAATGTGTGAAACGGACTGTAATCTGACCAATGAGAAGGCTACAGAATTGCCAACATAAATTTAAATCGCTCCTCTTAGTTTAAAAACAGAGTATAGTAGAGGTTAACAGAGTTCTGTCATTTTCAGAGGCAAGTGTTTTTTTAAAGTTTTTGTCATTCAAAACCTGTTAAAATACAAAATATTAATATTTCAAGACAATGTGGTTTCTTATGAAACTAATGTATCCTTTATAATACAGTCATTGAGTTATAGTAACAGGTTTACCAATATATCAAGCACATTATTAAAAACGTTATAATAATTAAATAAAACATGCATCACTTATAATTCTTTAATTCTTCCATATTCTAGTGAGTTAGTTTACTTAACATAACACAAAAAACATATTAAATACCAAAAATGTACTTTAGTGAGTTTTAAACTGGTTGGCAACGCTTATTTTCGCCGTTTTTTCCCAGAATTGCAGCTGCAATTCGAATTGCGGCAATTGATCTTCAATACGTCGCTATTTTCTGCAATTGCAAGAAAAAAATTGCAACAGTTGATCAAAAGGACCTTAGTGTGCAGACGTGCAATACGAATTGCCACAATGTAAAGTGGCTCTAAAAATTAACTCCTGATCGGGATGGATTCATTGGTTTTTTTAACAAATACAATGACGTGTAAAATTCACTTTACCTGTATAGATAACAACTCCTGTAGCCTGACCTGAAGCAATGACACAGTTTGTCCACAAAGTGTTTTCTAGATCCAAACTTTCATCACTATTTAAAGAATCCAACTATAAAATAAAATTAATGCAATCAGCGAAATTTTAATTTTTTGTCTTTTTACACTTACTCTGCTGAAAGTTCCAATAAATGAATGTATATCTTTTTGAGGTTTTTCTGCATAAATACTGGCATTTATTTCAAATAATTGACGTTCTGAAGCTAACTTTTGAGTTGCTGGAACAGCTAATCTTAATTTCCAATCTGTTTCACCGTCCAGTTGATCTGTTCTTACAAAAACTGCACCGCTACTTTCAGATGTTCTAAGTAACACTAAGTCAGCTGGCACCCTTTCATCTTTATCAACAATAATTAGATCTCCTACCTGCAATAGTAAAATTAAGGTTATATTATTTACTTTTCTCGATTAAAAATAGAACAGCTCAATAAGAGTAGTTTTGCCACTGACCCCAGGGTGTGTAATGGCAAAAAAATTTAAAAAAACCTCGAGCTCATCTCTCTGCTGTTTCTTACAGTGAACAGTCCGATAAGTACAATCTTTAATTATTTCCTAAGTTTATTATTTGAAGGGTAAATTATTTGTCCTCAAAATTGAAGAATATAGAGCCAATGGACATGATCGTACTCAGCATGATAATCACTGATGATAATTTATTTAGTATAGAAGAAATTCATTAAAAAAAGTATTTGAAAACAATCATTTAGACTTATTTTACCTACTTCGCCTTCACAAACAATCTCCTTATTATTGGTGCCATTTAAATACGATAATTAATAATTATTTTTTTAAATCAACAATTAGCATAATTTATTTTACAACAGATCTATCCAGTTATTATCTCTATTACTCATGCACAAATCCTACTTTCTCTTAAAATTATCAAGTTATATAGATTGATCATTCATGTTTTTAAAAAATAAACATAAGCTTATGCCACAGCTTATACAATACAGCTCCACAACTCCGTGTCGGCGTCTTTGATCTGGCGGTCGAGAACCAAGCAAGACGGAATGGTGCTATCTCTGTTAGATTCGAGGGAAAAGTCGGGCCCGGATTAAACAATTTTTTTATTATTGAAAAAATTGAAAACCTTGGCGTAATGAGTTTGGTTACATGCCATATTAAGTAAGTTATGGAAAATTAAATTTTTAATTTGTTTTAAATCTGTTAAATATAATTAAAAAAATTATTTAAATTTAAATATTGCGAAAAATAGCACATCTTTCGGATTAGAGGTAAAATAATTTGTATGTGGCTAGTAAAATCCTCGTTAACAAATGTTTTGAGCTAAAACAGTCACTTCACGACAAATTGTGGCTTGGATCCTTTTTACACCAAGGGCTTCAATTGTTAAAGAATTGTGTCACGCTCGTGGATGCAAATCAAGTGGTACCCCGTGTCTCTGGCAAGTGTTACTATTCGCGCAAAGGGTTTATACCTAGATAAACGAATGCTTCGACTGAGGTATGGGAACTCTATGGTATTTTGGAATTATAAAGAATTTGTGCTTTTATTTTAACAATATTGGTTATATTTAGATGTATTCTTATTAATTGAAATACAGATTTGTAAAAGTAATACATTGACAATATTTATTAATATAATAATATTCAATTTTTATCTGACCATACCGAAGTAGGAAATTTTGAAATTTTATAGTAATGTGAAATTTGAATTACAATATTACACGATATTACATAATTAGTACTTATTTTAGGTAGGTACTAAATTTGTACTTGGAGAAAGTAATATCGATTTTTACAAGAAAACTTGAAAAGTAAATTAATTTAGTTCCTATTTCTGATGTAAAACTTAAACCAAGAAAACAAATAAATTGTAGTTTGTTCAACAAGGGTGGATATGATAGCCATATTACACAAAGACGAAGTTTGAGCACGCCGTCGTAGGCGGAGTACTCAATCGTCTGATTGTGATATGAACAATCCACTCGATATGGTCAGTATATTTTTTCTACGACCCACTAACGAAAATCTACAAATTTAAAAAATTATTTTAGGTTATTTAGACAAAATAACTAATTTTAAAATAATTTACGAAGTTGACTAATTTATAAAATAAAATAAACATGAAAAATTAATTAGTCCTCGGCCTAGATTCGATCCCGGGCTTTTTCGCGTGGAAGGCAGATGCTCTGTCCTCATCTTCACCGAAACTTTCAGGACTTTAGTTTTAATACTCGTAATTAAATTAGTATCATGTAGTTTGATTAAAATTTATTTTTTTTAAATGTGGACAAAATAAAAACAAAAATGCTATTATTTATCGAGTCTACACAAAAATTTTAATGTATATTTAATACCAATAACTAAAATATATATTGACAATTAGTTTAACAGAATTGTCACTTATTTAAAAATTTTTAAATAATAGGAGTTGGGTGACCAAAATATGAACTGTGATTTGTAGATTTAATTTTGTTAAAGTGTTCTCACTACCTAAAATGGATATGAAATATATTCGTAGTTGAACGCAATAACATACTTTTTCGTTTTGTAGTATGTGCGTAGATTGGCTAATATCCATGCACAGATTACAAAACGAAAAAGTATGCTATTGCCTTCAATTGAACGAATATATTTCATATCCATTCTAGGTAGTGAGAACACTGCAAAAAAAATAAATTCGCCAATCACCGTTCATATTTTAATCAACCGACTGCTATTATTTTTAAAATTTTAAATAAATGACAATTCTGTCAAACTAATTGTCAGTATATTTTTTAGTTATTGAGATTAAACATACAATAAAATAATTTATTCTTTTGGAAAACGTTAGCATGGATGACTAAAGGGTATTGGGTTAATTAATTCTAAAAGTGTGGTACAAATGTTATTTTTTGTAGCCAATTCTTCAAAATTATTTTGAAATATCTTTTCAATATTGAATATTAGTTCTACAAATTCATCATTTGACAGTTGCAGATTTCCAAATGTATCTGAATTGGCGTTATCATATGCCTTTAAAAAGCAATAAAAAGAAAAATCATCTGATTCAACGTGATCTTTGTTATATTTAAGACAGGTATCGCAGGAGTGGATCCGCAAGGCTTTTGTTAAAAGGTAACCACACACATACCTGATAAAATTTTTCTGTAGCAATTCGTCTTTACAATAATTTAGGGTGTTAATAATTTCATCATAAAATAAAATACAAGGTGTTCCATTTAAAAAACATACATTTTAATTTGCCAGGCAAAAACGTGACACCCTGTATATCCAAAGATATTTTTAAAATATGTAGGTATTTTTCAAATTCATATAACTTTTATTTAAAACTTTCTTGCGTGTCTACAACAAAATAATGAACAATAACGCACTAATGGGACACCCTGTATAAATTATATTTTTAACAATGAAAATTTTTTATAATGTGGTACTTATCGGTTTGGGTCCTTGGGAAAACTAAATAATGTTTTTTTGCAGGTATAACCCTTATTAAAACAGATTTTGACTGCACAAACAGAATGATGTCTTTTTTTTTTTTTAATTATTCTACTCACAGCTAAAGAGTCACCAAAATAATAACAGTACCTTTAACTCAAACAAAATCAACGAAATTATAGGCTCCACGAAATTATACAATCAACGAAATTATACGCACGACTAAACAACTTACTGTGCTTATGCCTTGAAGTAAAAATGTAGGTAATTATTTTTTACTATGTTCAAAGACTAAAATTGGTTTTAAAACACATTTTTGCTAAATAGATTCTGATTAATAAGCACTTGAGAGGCAATGTAGCTACTCGGAATGCAACTCGCTTTGAGCAATCTGTAAAACTAATATAATTGACCCTGTCAAAGGCCAGACAGAAAATTTTGACAGGTCGTTGTAATACCTAATCTATGGGTAAGTTCGAGATCACACCCTATGGAGTGAGCAGGGTATGAGCAGAATCCTGTCAAGACAGAGAGAGAATGTAGTAACATCTCGAATGTCACTCAGGGTAAAAATCATAACCTTAATCCAGTATGTCAATTAATGGACAGTTAATTATTATGCTTTACAATGGAATAATATGAAATAAACTTTCAGAATTTACTTATGATAATCAGTATGTGTTAAATAAATTTAAAATACAAAAATACCTAGCACAAAACCACAGAAAAATAGTACGTGCTGTTTACTGACATTTAATTATTTGACTTCCCGACAAATCTCGATCACTTAACACAGAGATAAAAGAGTATGCTCGGAGTCCATATTCAGAGTCATATCGGACGCGAAAGATCACACTCCGAATTTCTAATAAAACGCGAAAACGAACTCGGAGCAACCTGGGTTTCTATTTGAACTCACAGTATATAGTTTCAAAATATTTTAAGTGAAATTTAACTTTTTTAAATAATAAAATCGTAACCAAGCAAAATATTTTTATTAAATAGACAATGACTAGTTTAAGTAAATGATCCATGCCCCACCATCAGGCCAGAAAGAGAGCTGATGTCGTTGTACAATATATCTTATAATTAAAATTTAAAATAATGTGCATTGAAGACGCAATTGTTAGAAGCGTTATTCTAGTACAAGGTACAAGCCGTAAATTGTTTTAATTCTTAGTAATTATTTAACTATTTAGAGCTATAGAAAATATTCTAAATCCCAGATTAAGAAGTCAACGTAGTGAAATATGATAACAGTATAGCCTAATTTTGTTGAGAAATATACATTTTGTAAAGTAGTAAAAAACATAAAAAATGTAATAATTGTACATAAATATTTAGTTAAAATTGTAAAACGAGTCGAAATGGCACGACCTCTTTAGTTGGATTAACTTCTAGCATCTATTTTCACATCCAAACTGAACACTGTTATAAAATAAAGTTAAAAAATATACATCATAGTGCCTTTTAATCCTTAAAAAAAAACTAGATATGTGTACATTTCCATGGAAAATGCAATTTTAATCATTTCACCATACAATGATATAAAATATTACCATACAATAACAACTAAAACTATTTATTCTCTTATAATTCACATTACTAAAGTCAAATAACAAAAATGAATATAGTTATGGTTTTTGGTAATAGGTATTTGGGTACAATTATTACATTGAGTTTTAGTATGTTAACTATGAGTGCATACTAACATTTTTGAAAATATGCTCACCGTTAATTTAAAGAAAATAATAGTTAATATCACACTGTGTCAAGCTGACAAACAAAATAAAATTAAAATAACTGAATTTTAGAATAGCACCTGCAACATTATACAGAAATATTACTTACTTTTAACTTGTGTGCAGCAACAATCTCAAATGGTTTATTTGAATCATTCAACAACCTCTTACATTTCTGATTGTTGACCTCTTGATCTCTTTTATGTCTTCTTAGGTCATCTATAGCTTCTCTTGAGAGTGTGACCAATAATACAAAACACTAGAAAATAACAGTTAACGATTATTTTTTTACCTTGCTCTCTTATTTTAGCATACAGTTTACCATTCTAAATTAATATATTATTCTTTATGAGAAATTGTTTCGTTTTACATCTCATTTTTTACTTTCCTATCTGTATACAGATATATTACATTTTTATCACTTAACTAGACAAGATAAGGCTTTAATAGCACTACCTACAGGTTTAAATAAATCAGATTTAGACTTTGTATATGTATCATTAGAACTATTTAAAATACCACTAATAAATTATGCACTGGTTATACCTAGATGAATTTGTAATTTTTAGCTTTTTATTATAATATAAATGTACTAGCTATTGCACGCGGCTTTGCTCGCGACTTTGCTCGCATATTGTCGTGTTATTAATAAAAAAAAATACATGACTTCCTTTTTTATTAACTTTTATTAGTTTTATTGATTTTCATTCATTTTTTTATATTTATTCATTTTTTTTTTAATTTTTATTCATTTTTTTTTTAATTTTTATTCATTTGTATTAATTTTCGTTAATTTTTGTTAATTTTTGTTAATTTTTGTTAATTTTTGTTAATTTTTGTTAATTTTTGTTAATTTTTGTTAATTTTTGTTAATTTTTGTTAATTTTTGTTAATTTTTGTTAATTTTTGTTAATTTTTGTTAATTTTTGTTAATTTTTGTTAATTTTTGTTAATTTTTGTTAATTTTTGTTAATTTTTGTTAATTTTTGTTAATTTTTGTTAATTTTTGTTAATTTTTGTTAATTTTTATTAAGTTTTATTAATTTTTATTAATTTTTATTAATTTTTATTAATTTTTATTAATTTTAATTAATTTTGATTAATTTTGATTAATTTTTATTAATTTTTATTAATTTTTATTAATTTTTATTAATTTTTATTAATTTTTATTAATTTTTTATTATTTTTTATTAATTTTTATTAATTTTTATTAATTTTTATTAATTTTTATTAATTTTTATTAATTTTTATTAATTTTTATTAATTTTTATTAATTTTTATTAATTTTTATTAATTTTTATTAATTTTTATTAATTTTTATTAATTTTATTAATTTTTATTAATTTTTATTAATTTTTATTAATTTTTATTAATTTTTATTAATTTTTATTAATTTTTATTAATTTTTATTAATTTTTATTAATTTTTATTAATTTTTATTAATTTTTATTAATTTTTATTAATTTTTATTAATTTTTATTAATTTTTATTAATTTTTATTAATTTTTATTAATTTTTATTAATTTTTATTAATTTTTATTAATTTTTATTAATTTTTATTAATTTTTATTAATTTTTATTAATTTTTATTAATTTTTATTAATTTTTATTAATTTTTATTAATTTTTATTAATTTTTATTAATTTTTATTAATTTTTATTAATTTTTATTAATTTTTATTAATTTTTATTAATTTTTATTAATTTTTATTAATTTTTATTAATTTTTATTAATTTTTATTAATTTTTATTAATTTTTATTAATTTTTATTAATTTTTATTAATTTTTATTAATTTTTATTAATTTTTATTAATTTTTATTAATTTTTATTAATTTTTATTAATTTTTATTAATTTTTATTAATTTTTATTAATTTTTATTAATTTTTATTAATTTTTATTAATTTTTATTAATTTTTATTAATTTTTATTAATTTTTATTAATTTTTATTAATTTTTTATTAATTTTTATTAATTTTTATTAATTTTTATTAATTTTTATTAATTTTTATTAATTTTTATTAATTTTTATTAATTTTTATTAATTTTTATTAATTTTTATTATTTTTTATTAATTTTTATTAATTTTTATTAATTTTTATTAATTTTTATTAATTTTTATTAATTTTTATTAATTTTTTATTAATTTTTATTAATTTTTATTAATTTTTATTAATTTTTATTAATTTTTAATTATTTATATTACTTTTCACCCCCGTTTCCCCCCCTTAAAATGTGAAAATCCAAAAACCATGAAACACTTCATTATTTATTTATGATAAAAACCTACAATTCCAATTTTCAAGTTCCCACCTTTAAAAAAAATCGATATTTCCAAATAAACTTTCACCCCCCCCCCCCCCGTTCCCCCCCTTAAAATGTGAAAATCCAAAAACCCTGAAACACGTCATTATTTATTTATGCTCAGTAGCTGTAATTTAAATTTTCATATTTTTAACTTTAAAGAACAAAAAGTTTCATTAAAAGCTCCCTCCCCCATTTCCTCCCATTTTCCCCCCTTTAAAGTAAAAATTTCCAAAAATCCTTTCTTAGCGGATGCTTACGTTATAAAATAAACCTATGTTACAAATTTCAGCTTTCTAGGCTCAGTAGTTTTGGCTGTACGCTGATAGGTCAGTCAGTCAGTCAGGACAAACAATTTTATATATATAGATTTTAACATTCTAAACAAATTCTTAACTAATTGTCAACTATATGTTAACCAGGCGTGGCTTCTCCATAAGGTCATTTGGTGAAAGACTCGCCTAATTTATTTCAAACAATTTGACATATTTTTTATTTGTGAGATATGTGTGTAGGGTGGGTTACCCCACCGCACTTAGGTCTCACTAGGCCCTTTGTGCATCCTCCTAAAACGATAGTCACCTCCTTGCTCATGAGCCAGTCTACAGATTTATTGTAGTTGACAACGTCGCCAAAAGGTGCTTCTTAGGGTGATTCATTTCCGCAATTTTTTTTTTTTTCGGTGCTCAAGCAAAATATTAATCTACATATAGAAAAAAAAATTCTCACCAAGTTTGAGCTCTAATATCAATTGTAAGTACTTACTATTTAAATTCATAGTTTTACCATTTAAAATGCATTTAAAAAAAATTCTAATGCTGACGCACCTTTTACAATATTGCAAATCGATTTAGTGTTTTTTTGTGTAACTCGCACTGGTTCACCAGTAGAAGTCCTCAAAGTACAGTTTTCAAAAAAAACATTTTTTTTTTTAATTTTTTCGAGCAAACCGCCAAAAGTAGGGATAAAAAAAGGACTGCCTCCAAAAAAAAAAAGTTATCCGACCAATATTTAATGAATTTGCAGTCATTTTTTATACCTGAAAACGTAATAAATCGATAATTACTAACTCATAATGTTTATTTAGATAATTTTTTTTTTATTGATTACCATTATATTTCCGTATACTAAGAACTTTTTTTAGAATTATTATGATTTCTCACTCATAATGAATATAATTTCGAAGAGCGTGAAATTTCCCACATGGTCCATCAAATCGATTTGCAATATTGTAAAAGGTGCGTCAGCATTAGAAAATTTAAAAAAAATATATTTTTTTTTTACATGCATTTTTAAAATGGTAAAAACTTTGAATTTAAATAGTAAGTACTTAAAAATTGATATTAAGAGCTCAAACTTGGTGAAAAATTTCTTTTTCTATATGTAGATTAATAATTTGCTTGAGCACCGAAAAAAAAAAAATTTTTTTTTCGGAAATGAATCACCCTAGTGCTTCTCTTATATCGGCCGGTGTTTGCTGATAATCGCAGAACACAAATTTTCTAATAAATGAGAACACTAAATGGTCTATAATTTAAAAATTTTGATTTATCTCCACCTTTATGAATTGGAGTAATTATACAAGATTTAAATTGTCTAGGGACAACCACATTTGAAAAGTTATGAAAAATAATTTTAAAAAAACCAATTTCAAAATCGTGCAGATGCCATCACAACATCTTGACCAAATTTTATAGAGGGTCACCCCTGGGGGTACCCCCTTACTAACAAAAAAAAGAACCATAAAATATTACGACGAATTGAAAACCTTCTCCCTTTTTTTGAAGTTGGTTAAAAAAGACTGAGTTTATTATATGTTTAAGTGGTTTTTTAAAAATATATTAATGATTATGTTTTTATATTGTCAGCTGTTATTCCATCAACCCCAGGTGAACTATTACTTTTTAACGAAGATATATGCTCTATTAGTTCCATATCTGTAACAGGATTTAGAACATAGTATTAGGATTTATTGATACAATTTTTGTAGAATTAGATATTTTTATATTTTTTTACCATAATTAAAACCGATGTTGATGAAAATATTGACTACAGTGATTTGCCATTAGTTTGTTGTCTTTAAATGCAAGATCATGCTCATTAACAAGTTGAACTGCAGATTTTTTTATTAGTATTTTCATTAGTAGCGGTCAGATATTAGCTGATACATTTTTTTTATATTATTTTTTATTATCTTCAATTTGTCTGTAATAATAATAATTTTTCGTTTTTCGTTCTGGTGAGAAGTGTAATTTTAACATTTTTTTTTTTAATTTATCTCTATGTCTTATTGATACAATTAAACCTTGTTGTCCAGGGTTTTTATTTTTAAAATATTTTTTTCTGAATCTTTATGTGGGCTTTTGAGTCCTCGATGTGTTTGCTAAACTTGCTCAAAAAATGATCAGCAGCAATTTGGGGATCATGTAAATTTAGAATATCATTCCAGTTTGTATTTCTTATTAATGTTTGTAATTTATGTTTGTCAATTTTGGTAATTACTTTTTCCTTACAATTTAAGTTATTTTTGTGTTTAATTTAGAATTTACCTGTAATTAAACTGGATAGTGGTCTGTGATGTGACATTTAAGGATAAATGAGTCAAACGTTAAGTTTGGTAGGTCACAAACTCAATTTCAATATCATACTCAACAAATAAAAAGAAACTACACTAGTGGAAAAAATTAAGGGATCAAAAAAAATCTCGTTTTTTTGCGATTTTTCGAGTGGCTGTATTTTTGGTAAAAATGGTTACTCGTGAATGAAAAGAAAAAGCAATTTGAAGCCTGAAGTGTCTAGCTTATGGATCTTGCGATAAAAAAATTCCAACCAATAATTAGCACAAAAACCTGATTTTTATGGATAGAAAATTTTTGAAATTTTTTTTTTTTAGTGTACGGACTTGAAAAAAAAAATGTTCTCGACATAACCACTATATGCATTGGATAGGTGGTTCAGTTAGCTTCAATTCCTTTTTTTTTATGGCCTCGAGATGACCCTTCCTTGCTGAGTTATCAGAAAATGAATAAACGTCCTCGTCAATATCTCAGGAACCAATGGCCGCTCAGAAAATGGAAGGGGTGTTTCGGAAACTTAGATTCATTCTCTACAAGGTTCTGGCATGTTCTTTCACGAGAAATTTTTTTTTTTTCATCCCTAGCATGACTTTGAAGAATTTCGGAAAACAGGTTTTTTTTAGAAAATCACGTGCCACATTGAGAATATTGGGAAAACGAATAATGTTAAGTGTGCATCTTACAGGCCATTGTTCCCCCGAAAGCCCTACAAAATTTCAACATGATCCATCAAGCCGTTTCATTGTTTCATGTGAATGAATTTTTGAAGAAATTGAAGGATCGCGTTTTTCTATCCATGATATTCATCAGGATTTTGTGCTAATTGTTGGAATTTTTTTTATCGCAATATCCATAAACGAGACACGTCAAACTTCAAATTGCTTTTTTTTTTTTCATTCACGTACGACCATTTTTACCAAAGATACAGCTACTCGAAAAATCGCAAAAAATCGATATTTTTTAAGCTATTGCATAACTTTTATCGCGGGCTTTGAGCGTGGCGACCGAATCAAGAAATTCCGTAACGAAAATAAACCTAACACCCCCCACTCCGACCGGCACAGCGGTGCGGCGTTTTGAAAGCCGTGGAAGGTTTTATCCGACCCTATTCGTATTAGTATGAAGCGGAATTAAATATACGTCTGTGGACTGGAACGTTTATGCAATACAAGAACTAGAAGAGCTTTCTCTGGCTTCTAATAAATTGGTATCACAAATGTTCCCGGCTGGCGTAAATATTAGATATTAATTTTTTTTGCAAGATTTATAATAGTATATTATGCAACGATCATGTAATGATGGTTATTAACACACGAGTATTGACCGGGATACGAAACGAGCCAAAGGCGAGTTTCGTATGGTTTATGCAAGTGTTTTAATAACCATTACATGAGAGTTGCATACGCTATTTTTTCTACACCCGATAAATAATCAAGACCTATAAATATTATATTTATATTGGTATTGAACACAATAACAGTACTTACGCGATACTTTTCATAACGATATTTTCTAGATCGAAAAATCAAAAAATCGATAAATCAAAAAATCGAAAATCTAAATCAAAAATCGAAAAATTGAAAAGTGGAAAAAACAACAGTTAGTTACCTATGTTTAATAAAAACTTTCCATTCTACACTTAACTTTTATTTAATAAAGAAACCATAATGGTCGTGGACAAAGTATAGTATTAGACTCGCAATTTATGGCCATTATTCGCTCGGGTGAATAATGGCTACCATAAATTGCTCATTTAATAATATACTATTAAACAATATTAACTTCTCATTTATTCAATAAAAGAAAAAAAATTGTTTTCTTATCGGTCACCACGCTCAAAAAGTGTAACTTGAATTAATATCAAAGAAAAAAATACTGCCTAAATAAAATAAATAAATAATTATAATTGCATAAGTTGATAAAAATAGCTTTACCGCGGCAGTCCCCGAGTGCCACACGTATTTTTTTTTTGATCCCTTAATTTTTTCCACTAGTGTAGTAGCAGAAGTCAGGTATTTCAGAGTTTTAAAACATAAAAAGAGGGAATCAGCAACAAAGAAGCAAAATAGTAATTTGTTTAACTAGGTAGAGAAGTAACAGATTTGCCGCTAGCATTACATTTGCGAGGCGAAGCAGAGGCTTTGAAACTAGCCAAGGTAGTAAATATGTTTCTCTGTTATGTGAAACATAATTTTTCTTCGATTTATGAAAGCCTCTTTCAATTATACCAGATATAACTCACTCATTTTTAATATTTATTCTTATCGTTGTTTTTATAACTATATACCTTCAATTCTTATACAAATGTACTTAGCTCCATATTTATAAACATATCTCAGCCAAGTCCAGCTCAGCTAAGTCATCCTTAATTAAAATCGAAGTTCAGTTATATCGCATGAATTTAGAAATCACTAGTAACAAATTTGTTAAATGTACTTAACAGTTACAAATTTGCTACTATCCATCTCTAAATTCCAGTGTAACAACGGAACCACCTGGAACTCTAGAGAAGTCATAACTGATCTTTGATTTTCATTCAAGGATGACTCGCCCAAGTCCTACTCAGCTGAGATATGTTTATAAATACGGGCCTTATTTATTGTCCTTTCAATTCATATAAATTTAGACCAATAAAAAATTAAAATGATAAATAAACAATGAATAGAAGTAAAAAACAATATAAATATTAAGTGCAATTAAAGAGATCAACAGTAAAAAAAATTTAAACCTACAAAAATCTTTGAAATTGACATATTGGTGTAGCTATTACAGTTTTATATTAATAATTTCAATGTATAACATTGTATATTTTTATTGTTCTACTCCACCTTTATATAACTGTACAACAAAATGGTTTTTTTTAATGTGTAAGTAAATGTTTCTTTATATTTATGGAAATAGTTTTAGATAATAATTTGTAAATGACTTCTTTTTAACTTTAATATTAACAAGACCTAATAGAAAAATATGTTTATTATAGTTTCAGAAAATGAAATGCAGACCATTCAAGCCAAACAAGCATTAGTGGTAGTGAATAGGAAGTTGCATATACAGTGAACAAGGCCACATAATAGGTAATGAGTTGATCAGTTGTCTTTGTTCGATTCATGTGTGGTCATATTATACCTTGTCCAATTCATTGTGAAGCATATGGTCTGCACTTTCCTTATCTGTAGATATATCACCAGTTACAATTTTAATAAAGATGACTTAATTATGCTTTTTTAAGATTTCAACACAAGCATTTACTTGCTTGCTTATTAAATATCAGAATATAAAAAAAAATATATTTACCAATGGTCCCCAATAGGTGTAGAGATAGCCTATACGGATATCAGGCACAAATTGACTGATAGCCATGATCAAGAAATAGAGATTGAGGAAAAATTTAAACTGTTGGTAGAGAACAAGAGGTAAAAAAGTTATTATATTATATTTTTGATTCCTGATTGCATTTGCAGGAAATTGGCCAGGCGTTGGATTTCCAAGAAGAATGTTTCTTGATCTCAACTCTCGAGGACCACAACATTTTCGAAAAAAAGTACACCAGCATCTAAAACATATACACAATAATAAAATTATCTATTCATTTAATAAGTATATGCAAGCATACCCCCAACTAGTATGTCTCTGTGGTTTGCTTATCAAAGGAATATCTTCCTTTGAAGTTTTTAATATATTACTTTGAGATTCCACATTATCCATTCTTTATGATTGGAACAAAATTAACTAGGCAAAAATTTAAAACTAGTGAGAAATTTACATAGTATCTCGTTTCAATACATTAATTTCAATCAATTTTATTTGTTATGCTTGTGACACTGTACTGATTGATTAAGGGCTAAAAAAATTGGTGAACTGACACATGAACACTTTTATTTCTGAGAACACCATAAAACAGAACAACGGAACCTATGACCTATTTATTTGATTTGTCTTGTCTCTCTTCAATCCACTAAATTACAGGGAAAAGGAAATATAATTTTGATTAATTTGATTGCACCTTGTGACTAATCAACTAAAGTGAAGTTAGCTACAAGTGTCATTCAATAAAAAATAGTTTTGAGGCTAATGGTAAATATTACAAAAATGTTTATCTGAAATTCGATTTTTGTAAACAATAAATTACATTCACTTTTTCATATTTTGTGCCTATTACATATACCTATACTTAAATTATTAATCAAAAGTTGCTTTCAGAAATTAAAATGATCAACTTCACATCAGTAAAATTAAAGGCGGTAATTTTAAATCTGACTATAATTAATCCTTTTTATAAATCCAAAAAACGGAAAGCCCCAAAACTAATGGCACGGTGTCTATGTCTAATAAATATAATTATTGGTACAGGTACCAGGTACCTGCTTCTGTAAACTTACCCACATAAAATACTGCTTATACTACGACGACGCTTAGGGTTTCTATTATTTCTTACTGTATGAACATCCATTTCATTTCCGTTACCTGAAGAATTTGGCAATAAAAAAGTGGTTTCCTGATCACAATCAAAATCTTGCATAGGGTATTCCATAACAAATGGAATGTTTATCTTACGTCATTTCAGTATTGAACTGAAATTGACTCATGAATATTGTCATCTATATTTACACTGCTTTAAGCAGATCAATGTTAGAAGGGAAACTTTAAATAGTTATAAATATTGAAGTAGATTAAATGATATTTATGTATTCCAAAGATACAACTACATTTTATTTTCTGAGATTATCCAAAAACCAAAAACATAACCACGTTTGACACTCGTCAGACAGCTGATTGACAATTGACATGATAGTACGAGTTGCTGCGTTTGAATTTTTAATGCCGCGTTTGAGAGTCCACATCGGATGTATTTTTTACATCTCGAGCGTTTTTTATTTTTATCCACATCGGACACATCTGTCCCATTACATTTGCCGCGTTTGAGAATCCACATCGGATGCATCTGAGATGTAGTAAATCTTTGATTACGTGATTCAATATACGTAAATGTAATGGGATCAGATGTGTCCGATGTGGATAAAAAAACGCTCGAGATGTAAAAAATGCATTCGATGTGGATTCTCAAACGCTGCATATATCTGCGTTTGTTTATCGTTTCTTTTACATCTCGAGTTGAATGCCAGGGGGTCGATTCTCGAGTTGTAGGAATTTGATTCCGAGGAAAATGAATTCCTATGATAATATTCCTACAGTTTTAGTTATCGGTATTCTCGAGTACAATAGGAATCCAATTTCCTGTAGGAGTTCCAATTTCAGTATGTCGTTGATAATTTCAAGATAACGCAAAAACGAGCCAATGGAATGTATTTATTTCAGTTAAATATAGTTGTTTAACAGTTGGCAACAAGGCAATTTGACAATTTGTTAAAAATATTTGATTTTCTGGATGTACTGGTTATTTATTTTTAATATTTTTTATTAGCAGCAAAAAGAGAAAACGAAAAAGTTTCAGAAGGACTACCATTGTGATTACCGTTTTTTATATTTATAAGTAGAAACTAAAGAAAGTAACTAGTACAAATGTTTTTCCTACACCAAAAGGTCAATGCTTGTATCCTCTAATTTCTGATTTGAAATCCAAAAATATAGGAATACTTTAAATATTTAGCAAATTATAGTAAAATTCACAACATACATCATTATAACTTGGTTTGGGCTCCGTCGAGGAATCCTGATGTGCGAATTTTACAAAAAAAAAAGACTCAAAAGTAACTATAGTTTCTTTGGTAAATTTTCATAAAAATTTATGGATTTTGGTTTATTTTATTTATTGACTTAAAGACATTTCAAATAGGATAATTTTACTCGTCAAATTAAAATTAACTTTTAATAATATATGTAGTATATTTCTTTTTTAAATGAGTTTGGAATCGCCTAAAAAATTTGCATAAATCAATAAACCACATTAAACAAGCTACTATTGCGCAAGCGCGATTACAAAATCTTGTAGGAAAATTAAATTCCCTGTCTCATGAGCATGGGAAATCATTTCCTATAACTGCTTAGCAAAATATTCCTACAACTTGACTCCAGGGGGTCGATTCTCGAGTTGTAGGAATTGATTCCGAGGAAAATGAATTCCTATGATAATATTCCTACAGTTTTAGTTGTCGGTATTCTCGAGTACAATAGGAATCCAATTTCCTGTAGGAGTTCCAATTTCAGTATGTCGTTGATAATTTCAAGATAACGCAGAAACGAGCCAATGGAATGTATTTATTTCTGTTAAATATAGTTGTTTAACAGTTGGCAACAAGGCAATTTGTCAAAAATATTTGATTTTCTGGATGTACTGGTTATTTATTTTTAATATTTTTTATTAGCAGCAAAAAGAGAAAACGAAAAAGTTTCAGAAGGACTACCATTGTGATTACCGTTATTCAGGGCCGACTAGAGGGGCTGTAGCCGGGACTAATTCCCAGGGCCCGGACTCAAATGGGGGCCCGGCAGCGGTATAAGGGGGGCCCGGCAACTGGAATTTTTGTTTTGTATGAGAAAATAAATTCGACACAAGACGAGAGGGGGAAGTTTTATAGGTTCGGAAGCTTTTTTTTTTTAGAAAATTGAATCCAAGTAGAGGAGGAAAACTTTTTGTTTGAAGAGCTGTTTTTTTTGTCACGGGGCCCGATCTAGAGAATTGTCCTGGGGCCCGGCTTGGCTCTCGGCGGCCCTGTCGTTATTTATATTTATAAGTAGAAACTAAAGAAAGTAACTAGTACAAATGTTTTTCCTACGCCAAAAGGTTAATGCTTGTATCCTCTAATTTCTAATTTGAAATACAAAAATATAGGAATACTTTCAATATTTACCAAATTATAGTAAAATTCACATCATACATCATTATAACTTGGTTTGGGCTCCGTCGAGGAATCCTGATGTGCGAATTTCAAACAAGACTCAAAAGTACCCAGCTAGCACATAACGTTGCCAAGCCTTTCGGCGATGTTGCATTAAGGGAACGTAATAACATTACTGTACAACGTAATTGCAACGTTCATGAGAAGTTGTTGAGGGAAATCAAAACTTCGCAAAACTTCTATTTGTTATTTACCTATGCCGCGTTTGAGAATCCACATCGGATGCATCTGAGATGTTGTGAATTTTTTATCACGTGATAGAGAATTAGATCTGAATGTAGATGTAATAAACAAACGCTCTAGACTTTATTTGGTCACGTGATAAAATGTCAATGGCAAGTTAGAAGTTTATACTTATTAAATTTGACTTTTGAGACTACAAATCAACTTAAATTTGAAATATTAACAAAAATTAAACAATCTAATCACTTTTATTGCTGCGTTTGAGAATCCACATCGGATGCATCTGAGATGTAAAAAATCTTTGATCACGTGATGCAGTATACGTAAATGTAATGGGACAGATGTGTCCGATGTGGATAAAAAAACGCTCGAGATGTAAAAAATGCATCCGATGTGGATTCTCAAACGCAGCATATATTCATGCTAGCATAAACAAAGGAAAAATTGACAAACAAGGCTTCACAGAACACTTACTTTCTAGCATGGAACGAACATCTCATTCACATCTCATTTCAAATCGAGATGTAAAAAATGTAATCTGAACAGGTACATCTGGGATAAACAAACGCAGATGTAGATGTAGTAGATGTGTCCGATGTGGATAAAAAAACGCTCGAGATGTAAAAAATGCATCGGATGTGGATTCTCAAACGCGGCACTAGTTAACCTACCGTAAACATTACAAATCTGAATTCAGTACGTTTAGTTTTATGTCAATTGTCACTTGTCAGTTTTTCTTGTCAATTGTCTTTTTTAATGGTTTATTTTTCGACATCCAGAATTTATTTAATAAATAATTATTATTTATGCATTCGAATAGATTTGGTAAGGGTCCTCTATAAAATAGATAACTATTTTCTAAACCATTGTCTTTGTTTCAGATTACAATGCCTGATGTAAATTTATTATTTCATTCATTAAGTATCTTTAGCAGTCGATGCCGATGACACCAAATAAAAAAAAACTACAATAAAAACAAAGAATTGCAGGTCAATCGTTGTAAACCAGAAGATAAACATTTAACCGAATGTCCGGCAACATTTTACACCAAATAAAAGGTAATTATACTTTATCGAACTAAAAATACATTTTAAAAATATTATTTTTTAGGTTTCCTTCGACATTCTAGGAATTTTAGAAGCAAAAGTAAATACTACAGAAGTGTAAGGAAGAATATAACACCTGAAGTTTTATAAAAAGTGAATCTATAGGTACATGATATGTCAGGTATATCAGAATTCAAGCAGTTCATTCTCTTCAACAGGCTAGATTGCCTGGAAATGCAACCATCAGTTCAAGTGAAAACCCAACAGAAAAGTTGAGAGAAATCATAGATGATACTCTCGAGTATAATAGAATGTCTTGCTAAAAAACACCAGTTGTTTTTTATAAAATCTACATATTGACGGCTCAATCAAATACTGCCACAACTAAAATACTATTATTTCGAGAAATTTCATTTTGAAATTTTGTAAGTCTCTATTATCATTATTTTGTTTTTGACATACTCTTTATATTTTATTTAAAAGCTTCGATATTTTGCTGTTAAATAAAATGATTATGATTATAAAAGTGTGTTGTTGCATAGTTGTAAAAAATTTGGGTGTTTTTGAAGAAAATAACTCGAATTGAGGCAGTTTTAGACACAGTTTGTGGCTACATTTTAAATGATTTATCTTTAAGGATATTTTTGTTTGTGGTGGTATTTAAAGTAAAACCGTAATGATATTTTGCATCCATTGAACCAAAAATGTAATTGCTTTGTTTTTTGACTTGTGGCGGTTTTTGATTGAGCCATCGATATATCTACCTTGGAAGTCAAGCATAAAATTTGTAAAATTCAAACAAATTTCAATACACTAACATTGGTTGTTTTATTTAAAACAACAAAGTAAGGAATATTTTTTAATTTCTATATAATTTCCTTAATAATAGGTAAACAAGTTATCAATTTCTTTTTTATTCAATGTATTGAGAAGTAAAATCTTTTTATATAAAAATATAATTTATGCTCTTCTAATAAATTGTCATATTTAGGTTACATTATAGCACTTTATAAATATCTATGCAAAAAAAGTTAAAAGGCTTGATTTAAAAAAGATATATCTCTGCGTCTTAGGTAAGAAATCAGCGAACTTAGCTATCCTCTAGTAATCTAATATAATAATATGTACCTAGTCATTGTTGTATTCGTTTATTATTTTTCACTAATCTAGCTTTATCATCGTTCACCATTTAAGGTTTTAGTGAACCTTTGCAATATTGGTACCTTATTATACTATTTAGCTAATTTTGTCCAATCGTTCAGTGCTTTCTAGGTAGCTTCTTCTATCCCACATGTGTACTTGTGTTTGTGATATAAGGTGTGTTCTTTTATTCAATAATTGTTCCATCAGTGATTGATGTAATTTATCTATTCTGCAGTCGTTTTATATTTGAACTCTTATATTTTAGGTTAACTTAAATGGTTGATTATCCTCACCATTCGTCT